CTTGCGCTGTGGAATGTCCAGAGAACGCCTTTTTGTTGCGCCGGAGAACGCCGAACACATGAAGACCTTTAAGTGGCGTTGTCTCCCCAAAGTGGAAAACCAGCAGAAAAACAAAACTCATCGACCTGAGCAGTGTCGCGTCTGAGGTGCGATCGCCTGGCCATGGCCTGCTGTAAGGCGCTCCTTCTGACCGGCCCGGAGTTTTTGGGAACTTTTGGGACCCCCCCCCCACCCAGTCCAAAAAACAAGGCAGTCGTTTCACCACTTGGGGGGGGGGTCTTGTTTGAGGGAACAACAACAACCAGACTTTTCACCAAATTGGGCAGGGGGGGTGCCGTTTTTGGAGGCCCCACAAGAATAAAGATCGACCGTTTCACCCATTGAATGGGTGCCCGACCCCCCAAAATTGTGGGTTTTCCTTCTGGTTTCCCTTGAAAAACGGTGACCCACAACAATTTTGGGCAGAATGGGCCTTTTACAGGGACCCCATGGAGGGTTGCACTGGGGGTCAAGAGGGGGTCCAATAGCAAAAGTCTATCCGGGGGCAAGTGGGTTCACTGATCCATTCGCTTTTTGGGGATTCCTTATTTCAGGTTTGTGAATTATAGTTGGCTCATTGGAGTATGTCCACAAGTTTAAAGTTGATTAACAGATGTTTTTTTCAGCTTGCCTTTTTCCCACAACTAGAAAGCAGGCCCATCCTCTAGGAATACCTGGGGGTTGGTTCCCACACATTGAGCAGTGCCTTCATTTTCTTGTAGCCGCCAGTCCGTGTTGCTGGACTACCTGCAGTCCCTCCTGGTTTGCGCGGTCCATACAGGGATTTACTTTCTTGGCCTGGCTGCTTGGCAAGAAGATAGGGTCTCTTAAAAGAGGTCCTTGTCACGTGGGGTGGGTGAGTAAACATGCCGCCGATTCTCTGACTTTCTTGGGGGTAGCGCCAAGTCAAAGAAATGGTGGGCTGCTCACCATGACTTCCTACGGGCTACAAGGTGTCCCGTATTTGGCCTTGCATTCAAACCGAGCCGAGCAGCTGCATGACTCGCAGGAATTCGTTGAAGCTGAAGCGTGTGTTGATCCAATTTACCGGATCCTTTTGAAGGTATGTTGGTTGTTGAACAAAGGGAAGCCAAAGCACATTTTGGAACCGAAGGAAACCAAAAGGGGAAAAGGAAGCCAAAAGGAAGCCAATGGTTCCTCCAAATTGGGTCTATGAAAAACAACAAGCATTTTGTTGTTCTCTTGCTATAAGCAAGCAACCACAGACACATGCAATAAACCCAAGGGATCCAGTTCCATCTTGTGCAGCGTTCTGATCTAGCCACAGGTGCTCGGAAAGAGGGCCTATGAGGCGAGCGGGTCAGGCTGAAAAGGGAAGGCTTGGATGCAACCAGTGTCTTGGTGGCGCGTCTTGGTGGCGCCAATGTTAAAGCTTGGGCCCGAGGCACGGTTCTCACACATGAGATCATCCAGCAAAACCCCACAAGTTGTTTATGATTCTGATTATCGGCTGTGTAGAAATCTGAAGCATGTGAATCTACACCGCGCTTGTTTGTCCCTGAGACGGAATACATTGGAGCTTGGCGTGGTGTGGCTTCGCCTTCACTCTGGTATTCCTGTCCTACAGATGCTCGCCTGCGTCGAGCCTGAGATTTTGTTGAAGCTTGGAATATGGCCCATTCTTGATCTTGAAATCAGCATCAGTTACCAACAGGCAGTGTTGGGGACCACCATTCGGCATGCATGCTGCATGCTTAGGGACCATCATGCAGTATGCAGCATTAGGGACCATCAGCAGGCACCTTCAGCGATCATCACATACCATCAGACACCAGTGGGCACTGTTAGCGACCATCGGGCACCAGCGGGCACCATTAAAAGCCATAGCATCGTGATCCGGTGTAGTAGCTCATGTTTGCGTGGAATCTCGTCTTAGGTTCCGTGTGCAGACTTGCAGTGAAGAGCTGTTGCCGTCTGCGAGGGGAAGGCGCAAAAGGTCTGGCACCAGAACCAAGTTGCGCAGACACTGCCGAAAAGGCTGTTTTTGAAGCTCCAGCCTCAAAACAGGTGGAGTGCTAGCCAGAAATGCCCACTTGTCAAATCGACTTTTCGATCCACTTGCTTTGGGCTCGGATTGTGAAAACGGGGTTAAGCTGTTCGCTTTGCTTCACGCACCGGCTCCGGATGTTTAGGTTTCAACAGATACCGTTTGTTCGAAGTTAGTGAGAATAGTAGTTCCTCTGGGCTTGCAGAAGTGAATAACGATGCTGGAACAAACCCAGATGGATAGCCCTGGGTTTGCTAAGGAGCGCAATTTGCTTGACAAAACCCTAGATCCCTTCAGTTTATTGCATGTGTCTAGATGGAAACAGATGGATAACCCTGGGTTTGCTGAGCGCAATTTGCTTGACAGACTCCAGCCACTCAGTGGGTCGCTTCCTTTTTATTTTTATTTTTTGTTTGTTGGAGGGGGTTTTCCAGAAGTGCAAGTTGCAGAATCGCAATATAGCAGGTTGAATATAGGTGGCAAGAGGGGATGACTTGGTACACTTTCTGTCTTTCTGTCTTCTTTCTGTCTTTCTGTCTTTCTTTCTTTCTTGCTTTATTTCTTTCTTTCTTTCTGTCTGTCTTTCTTTCTTTCTTTCTTTCTTTCTTTCTTTATTTCCGTCTTTCCATATTTCTTGATGTATGTCTCTCGTTCTATGTTCTGGTTTCTTTGTTGGTCTTCTTTTTGTTTCTCGTGTTGTGTTGTTCTGTCTGTGTTTCTTTCTTCCTATTTGCATATCGATATACGCATTCCTCTCTATCTATCTCGCTGTCGACCTTCTGTCTAAAGTATATATATCTATCTATTTGTGTTGCTTTCCATCTGTCTATCTGTCTATCTGTCTATCTGTCTATCTATCTATCTATCTATCTATCTATCTATCTATCTATCTATCTATATTTCTATCTATCTATTCATCTATCTACCGACCTATCTATTGATCTATCTAACTATTTGTCTGTCTGTCTGTCTGTCTGTCTGTCTGTCTGTCTGTCTGTCTGTCTCTCTATCTACCTATCTATCTATCTGTCTACCTCTCTGTCTACCTATCTGTCCATCTGTCCATTTGTCTATCTGTCTATCTGTCTATCTGTCTATCTATTTATTTTACTATTTATCTATGTATCGATCCTTCTATCTATCTTTGTATCTATGTAATCTAATCCAATCGAATCTAATCTAGGCTATTATCTATACTCGGTTTTTCAGTAGTGCTCTTTTGCCCTTTTTGGGGGAGGGTTCCCCTACTAAAATAGACTACAGAAAAAAGGGTACCCTTATTTTAACCTCTCTACTGGAGGACCTAATTAGTATATATCTATCTAATCTATTTATCCACGCTGCTTCGCCTGCCTCGAAATTTGCGCCTGATCTTGCGAAAGTGCCTCCCACGAAATCTATTTACGAAAGTGCTGCGCCTGCCACGCAAACTAACTTTGCGAAAAGCACGCGCGTCCGTGCCAATGGTCCCGGCTCCAAACGTGGTCCGCATGCGCTCCGAGCACGCTTTGATCAGACGTCGTGATCAGGCTACCCTCCGAGCATGCCAAAGCACCGAAGCCCTGAGAGGGTTACAATTCTTTAGCATTTCTATTCCTTCACCACGCGCGCGCACTATTTTACCGCGCGCTTATTCGCATGTTGTCATTTGTTTCAGAGAGCTAGCGCCCAATTAATTGCAGCAACACGGAAGTGTCTTCTTCATTCTTCAAGTTTTGGCAACGTTTACTATAGGAGGTGGTAGGAAGTGCTGCAGTGGATCTGGGATTGCAAGATACACATTATGTTGAAAAACATTGTCTTCGTCTTTCTTTAGGAGCTAATACTGCAATTTTCTTTGAAATGATATTCAAGGGAGAAAATATGGTTGCGCTAAGAACTTTATCCTAACGCACACTCTCTCTCTCTCTCTCTCTCTTTGTCATTGCGCTTGAACATGTATCGCTATTTTTCTTACATTTCCCCCATGCATGTCTTAGGGTTTAATGTTATGCAACAAACATTCCATCCTTTCCAGATTTGTTTCATTCCTGGAGTTTCCTGTCATCTGTTGGATCAGGAACTTCTTTCTTATCTTTCTCATTATCTTTGTCTCTATCTTGTTCTCTATCCCTCTTTCCACCACAAGGAATATATCTCTTTGAGATTTGACCCATATCTTGCCCATGTCCTGTCTCTATGTCTTTTGTTTGTGTCCTAGCGGCTTTAGAATTAACATTGGGAGCACGTTAAGATGGAGATCCCAGTTCTTAGCAAGAATCGTACTGAGTTCCGCCGGAGAAGCAACAACATGGTAATACTTAGCATGTGTGGTTTGACAAAGTGCCTGTATGCATCACATTGCCCAGATTGACCATGTATCTTAAGATTAGTGTTTTAACTTATAGTAGATTGGTCAGGGATGTCCGGGAAGGCAGATGGAGAGACATTGGGCACAGATCATCTCCTTTGTTATTCCTTCGGCGAAAGAAGCGCCTGTTTCTCTGCTCGGCGAGACTGGAAAAACCAGTCCCCGGAGGGGTGATGCAGGATCGTCACCTTCAATCTTTCAACGGCTGGATCATTGGCCCAGTCCGTCAACGTCACATTGCACATATACCCAGACTACGGTCTTGGGTTTCTTTACAAGTTTTCATGCCAAGCGATCTGTGCATCAGGCGCTTGGTGTGGCTGTTATGTCTGCTGACAATTTGTTGCACATTTATGTGATTGCGTGACCTTGATGCAGGTGTGACAGCAAGTTTGTGCTGTTGCGGCTGCTGTTGTCAGTTTTTGCAGATCCGTGTGTTCTGCACAGATCTAAAGACTCCGCCTGACGTGAGAGCATATGAGATGCTCACTTTAGGCCAAGTTTTTGGCTGTCAAAAAGGTTTCCCATGGTCACAGGGAGTCTGCCGAGCCCTTGCGAGCATGTCTACCAAAAGGCCGATTGCAAGCTTGGGGACTCCACCAGGAGTATCCAGAAGCCGTGTAGATGCTTCTGGGCAGCCAGCTCAGACAGAGGCCGGGGTCTTTGTTTCAGGGAAACGTGACTATGAAGCAGAAGCTGTCCTTTGCTCTACCTTGGGTCAGGTTTGGGAAGGTGAACAGGTCGGTGGCAACTCGGAGAACTGGTTGACTCAGATGGCCCCTCTCATTGGGGCTTCTCTTCATGGGCCCAGCTGGTTGGTGAATAGCGACTTTTTCTTTCAAGCTGTCATGGTCTGAGTCAGAGCCACGATCACAGTTTGCGTAATTGAAGGGTATGGCTTCAGTCCCAACCATAAATGGGTGCGGATGTCCGCCCTGTTTCTGTACCTGCAGGCGCTTATTGTGACTTATTTGGGGCCATAGTCATGAATTAGGACTATGCGATCGGGAAACAAAGCTCTGACCTTTTTGGGACCCGAAAATAAACCTTTGGCGCCTGGAGCCCCCAATTGGTGGACAATTCTGAGTGGCCAAGCTTCAGCTTTGGCCCCTGCTCCACTTGTCATCCACAAGATTGTGCACGTGTCATGGGGCGCAGGGTTGGGGTGGGGGGGGTTGACAAGGTACGTGGTCCGCGTATCAGCATTCAGATGATGCATGTGTCGTGGGGTGGGCTGAGGATCACAACGTACCTGGCACACTTGTCCACTTATCATCATCAAAACGTTCATTGTCATCATTACCGTCCATCTATCATGCACGTCATCATCCATCATCCATCACTCACCAACATCATCAATCATCCACCATTCACCATCATATTATCTTTCACCATCCAGCATCCATCACCCACCATCCATCATCCTTTGTCATAAACAGCGACAACATGCCGTCATGCAGTGCGTAGATCAATCTGGGGGCGTTTGTGTAATCATTGGGTTCCCAATACAATTCACGCCAAGGCAAAAAGCAGCCGGGATCATTCAGTTGTTAAATGAAGTGCACATGGTGTTTTTGCTTTTGCTCTGCGTTGTAACATGAGTGTCTCCGAAAGAGGAGACGTGTGGACATGTTTGAGCAAATCCGTTCGAACAATCACCTGAGCTGTGGCCCTGCAGAGGCGGGAAAAACACCACAGGCAGATATACCGCCGTGACCTTGTTGTTGTCAGTGTTGTTGTTGGTCGTCGTCGTCGTCATTGCGTCCTCATTGTAGCTGGGGTGATGGTGATGGTCGCGTTCCTGGCACTTTGCCTTCCTAATGTCCAATGTTTTTCGTTCATGGTTGGTCTGGGTTTCCGAGCAGATTCTTTATAACAGAGGCGGAGGTGGAGTCGGCACGCTTGGCAGGTTTTGCAGGTCTCCCACCTGCGACTCCGCGAGGTGGACCTTTGGGCTCGCTTGATCGAACAGTCCCTAGTTTTCCATTTTTGTCTTTGGAAACCCCTTGTTTTGGGTTGTGGGTCAGGTTCCTGTAGGGTTCATTGAAGAAACATCTAGGGAACCCTGTCAGATTTGGGCTACCCTCCGCACGTCAAAAACCGTTGGGTTTTTTGCAGTTTGGGTGGATGCAAAGCTGCAAGTCTTGAGGGGGGATTGCTGTTTTGAAATGTTTAGGGCAAAGTTGGTGGGAAGCAATCGTCAACAAAGCAGACATGCTGAGCTGGTTTTTGGCCATGTGTTAGCTTGAGATGCTGTCCTTCCAGACAGCAAAGAAGGATGCTGTTTTTCTAGAGGGGCGAGGGGACTGATGCAATGTGATTCGAACTTCGTGTTGCGTGCGTTTGATGGATAGAGTGCAGAAACGGTTGGAATATAGGGCATAAAAACTCATCAAGAAGCAGGAGCACGTTGCGGACCTGCGTCCGGCAGTCTTCGCACATTGTTGATAGGAGTCTGATTTATCCTAGGAAACCGGCTTAGCCACGATGAAGGTACCTTGGGGGTTCATTCATTCAGAGTAACAACAGTGACGAGTCACTGGCGCAGATCGATCAACGTCATGTTCTTGGATTTGTTTTTGCTCCAGCTCCTCAGGAGCCGTTGAAAGCTGGGCTTAGGCTGGAAATGTTTGGGCCACTCTTGGTCTCTTGGTCCCCTCCTGACCCGTGGACCTTCTGACCAGTTTTGCTCACTTTACCGGCACCAGAAAGGAGACTTTGCTAGTTTGAGTTGTTTCGGGAGGTGTGTCAGAGGGCGCTTCAGGAATGCCAATGAAGCCAGGGAACATTTATTGGAACCCAGACTTCATAAACCCTGATGAATTATTGAAGAACTCCGACTGACGCATCGGGGACAACAAAGGTGGCGAGATCGGATGTTGATTGGTTTCTTGCTGGGACTGTGGTGATGTTTGCGCGCGTTCTACGGGTTTCAATAGCAAGAGAACTGATTATTCCAACTGCTGGAACAAACTTCCACGCCAAGCACCGGTTGGGATGGATAAAGTCCTATGCCTGTGGGTCAAAATTAATGGTACCATTTTGGGGGTTTCGGTGCACCACCCATTTTAGAACCGATCTTTGTGGGGATTGGGTCCCGTTCACTGTACCCGGAAGAAGCCACCTCCCACCTGAGCCTCTAGGAACGGTCACGGGTGTCCTTTTGGCTTTGCAGTTCTTCGATTCTTTGCCTCTTCCTTTTTCTGACTTCAAGCAGTATGGCCCGTATGGCTGTCTGCAGCCTCCGGGCCGAATATGTTCAGGTAGCACAGGGCTTTCAGGAGAAAAGCAAATGGGATTGTCGACGTTCCAGTCTAAGTGAGGCTACCATTGGGGTGTCCTGCATATCGCACAGCAGATGGCTGGGATATGTTTAAATATGCATGCCCTTTGACATGGCCAAGGACCACCAAAGCCCGTTTGGGTGCCCTTGTCCCAGGGGTGACCTTAAAAGCCAACCAACAGGGATCCCTAGATTTCCCTTTTAAGATACGTTTTGCCCATTTGAAACATGGCTTTTTCCACCAAAATAAAGCGAAGCCACCATTTACAAGGCAATGTTTAGGTTTATACTGTAAGGATCCCTGTTCAACATCACTTAGACCAGTTGTAGCTGAGTTTCGTAGCTCTAAAACATGCCGATTAGGATTTGGGGCTATCCGGCGCGATAGGCCTGGAGTCTTGTTGCCATACACCTCCACACAGGCGGGAGTTGCGGTGCATGCGGAGAACAGCTCCCGCGATACACGATGGCCTCCAGATGGGATATGCAAAGCCCAAGATGGGTGTGATTTGTAATGGGTCCGGGAGCCTTTGGTGGACATCAAAATTCGGGTGGGCAGAAGGATGTTCCACCGAAATGAAGTGGTTCCAAGCATTCACTTCATCAGACATTGTTTGCTTTGGCGTGTGGCTCAACAAGGCTCCTGTCCATTTCGGAGGGATCTCATGCAACTCACCGCCCCTGAAGGCACTCATCACCTTTTGTGGTGAATATGGAGATTTCGCCCTGGCTCACAGGTTGCCCATTCTCAGCCTTCGCGGCTCAATTTGGGAGGGTCAATGTTAATCTGGGGGAGAGCATGGAAAATATAAGAATCTCTCATCACGCAGGCGACCTTTTACTTTGTTGTGCTGACTGAGAGTGAAACTGACGTGGCGTTCATGTGACAGATGGTAGACATGTCATGTGCTTTGGTGTTTGTGTGTGTGTGTGTTCATGCGTGCTGAGTTGGACAAGAAACGCATCGCTGCTTGCTCTGAGCCAGCCGCAAAGCCACGGTTGTTTGATGCTTATAGAATACAGTCGTGCTGGCTGCTTGTTGGGGACAAGCGGATCAGAAGGGCAGGGATTCTTTCTCTAGTTTACTACAAAACGAGCAAGCAAGCAAACGGGAGTTTTCCGTGCACCAACCATGTTCCTTCATGTTGTTGTGTCCGAGCCATAATTCCTTGCTGTTGCAATTGGAGCCTTCAGTTTGTCCGCGCCTTTTGGCGTATTTGTTGTTCGTTCAGTGAGCAGTTTCAATCCTGGGGGAGGGGTTTGCTAACATGCTCGGGCCTGAATAAATCTAACAACCTTGCCTCATGATCATGGGAGAACAATGTGTCCAATTGTTTGGCCCCTAGGCAGGAAGTGCAACCGTCTGCATTTGGCTGGTAAGAACCCTGACCTACCTGTGCGGTTTTCCAGTCTCCTGTTCCGCCTACGTGAGCAAAGCTTGTTTTGTTTGTTTTGAATAGCGAGCTTGGCATCTTGCATATGCCTTGGACTGATAGAGGTGGTCAGAGCCCTTTGAACAAGTTTGTTTGAAGCCTTCCATGTCAACGACTCTGACGGGAGTTGTGGCATTGAAACTTGATCCTTAGGAGTCGAATTTGTGGTTAGTCTTAGTCTTTGGGCCGGGGGAAAGCTGGCGATCGCGTACTTATGAGAGTGCGAACTGCGCGCGGAGGCCGTATGCATCAGATCCGTGCGCACTTCAGTCACCTTGGACACCCGCTGGCTGCGGACGAGGCGGGTTTGGGGCATGTGCCTGTGGGGTTGTTGCGCTTTTCCCATATGTTTACTTCTGGGACTTGGCATCAGGTGTTTTTCCCAGTACTTGTTGGCCTTTGATTATTCTGTCGGGCTAGAATTCGGATGTTAGAAAAGGCAGTCCTTTTTTGGAGAGATGATCTTATTTACTGTGCACTGTATAGTGACAGGGCAGTGTTTGAGGTAAACAATGCCGGCGGCTGGCCGGGGAAAACTATCGAAGAAACAAAACAAACAAGCAAACGAGCAAGCCAGCAAACCTTGCTGAACATGAACGTGAAGTTGCTTTCAAACAGATGAGGCCGCGTTGGTTGCCTTGTTTTTCTCATTTATTTGGTGGGCATGAATTGAATTGACCCTTTGGACAATCATAGCCAGTTAGCTTGTCACGCCGCGACTCTCTCGACCCGGCTGAAAGCCGCAGGCATACGGTGGGAGAAGCTTGGGCAAACGCGATCGGGCCTCGGAGCGTGCGATCTATTCAAGAGGACATTTGCGGAAGAGTGGGGTGGGCGGTTTCCTATTTCCGACGGACTGGGTGTTGTTGGACCTTTGGGGGGTGTGAAGATGTGCTTTGGTTGGCAATGTAACTATAACTAACACCAGCGGTCGCCCTTATATACACCCTCGCTGTGAGGAACATTCATCAAATTGATCTGCTGTCGCCGTACAGCGCCGATTGTGACAACCTCGGCAGCTCAAGCTGAGGTCTTTCTGCATGCTTTCCAGCTCCAGATGCACTCATGGCTCGCAGGACTCGCGGGCACTGCTTTCGTGCAATGAGCTGCGCAATAAAGTGATCGTGCGTGGCTGAATCAGGAGTTGAGCAAACCCTGTGTCCTATCAGCTAAGTTTGGATCGCGGGGTCTTGCTTTTTGGGCGACTAGATCACTAGATGGCTGTCCTCGGTTGTTTCGAGGGGATTCTGCGGAAACTTGAAATACCCTGTGCTTGATACGTTTTATTTGTTTCTGCTTGGCGATTCTCTCAGGGCAAAGCTGTAAGCGATGCGAGGAGATGGCGTGAGGGCGAGCTGCCCGTTGCCACCAGACTTGGAGGAGGTCGCGGGCTTCGGGGTTCCTTGAAGCTATGGATCAGAAAACATTGGGAGCCTTCAGGCATTTCTGGGGTCTCCGAAAGAGTGGACAACCTATGAACCACAATGTGAACATGTGATTTTTGTTGGTGCACCACAAAAGTCTTGCTTGATGAAGCCAATTCAATTGATCTATCCCCGCGTGCCTATCATTTCGGTCAAATGGACGCATCCCTGCAGAGGAACCTATGTTTTGACTCGCGTTTTGCGGCTGCACCCGTGGTTTACATTGAAGGGATACCAAGATGAGGGGAGGTCGAAAAGAAACTACCCCCCCCCCCGCCAGTTTCGGTCCTGGTCCACGCCCCATTTTGACACTGCCAGGTGCTGTGCCTGCTGCAGCCCACGAGCCGAGAAGATGCTTTAGCACTCGAGGCCCCGGCGTCAGGATTGGTTGCAGGGCGGGGGCCTAGGAACGGCCTTGGTGCCCTGCCAGTTGGGCGAAGCAACCCAGGCTTGGCAGAAATTCCCAGGTTTGGCAGGTGAACATGCTGGAACGAGGTAGAGGTTACAAAGTTTCCTCCGGCTTCAAGATGAACCCTTCTGTACTGGAAGCCCCGGTTTGGATGAATGTCCGCGGATTTCTCAGCCCAACCTAGAAGCGTTTCTCCACTTTGATCCATTATTATAATTATAACGAGAGTTTCTGGATAGAGCTTACTGGGGGGCAAAACGAGCCTACTGTGATGCAGGTCCTGTTCACTTGCCCCTATTTCGGGTTATCAAATCATCACACAAATTGCAGATTCCAATGCGACTCGGATTGGTCCACCTCCGGATCAAGACTCCTTGGCTAAAGGTGGTCGAAACCTTGGTCTCCGGGGCACTTTTTGCGATGCCAGGGGCATCCCTCTTCAAACGACGAAGTAGTCATAGGGAGGGCCCGCTCCGCTTTATCGCAGAAAAGAGTACTTCCCGCAACCACTAAACCTGGGATTTTGTGGAGAGGTTGTGGAAACGAAGGATTGTTGAACCGGACGCCGATCATTGACCGGCCTGGTTTTTGGCATGCCTACACCCATGAAGGTCGGCAAAAGTGTATTTGGGGCATTGCCAAAAAGAAGGGCCCCTTATGCAATCTTGGTGTCATTCTGTGCATGCCTTAAATTCCGGATCGCTGTGCGGCTGATAATAAACACTAGAAAACACGAGTCAGCCCCAGTATGCACGTTTCCATGTTTTCATCTTTGGGTCAGTCTGCTCACACTGAAATGGAATCTGGGCCTACGGTTCCATTTTGTTGTGTCTGCTACGCGCAGGCCATCACGGACATGCTCATTCCGAGCGGGAAAATGGGCGCAGCACGTGCAGCGCGTATTAGCGATGTTCGATTGCGAGCTGGTTGTCGTTTATTTGTAGTGTGGACCAGTGACGGGGGTCGTGCGACTCTGAAAGCTATTTGGAGCTGCTTTACTGGCTGGTTCTCAGAGAATGAGGGCATGAATCCTTGTGCTTTCTTAAAAATCCCATTCCGTTGCGTTTCCTAAGCCTCCAAGGAGATTGCTACTTAGCCCAACTTTGGTAGGTTGCCCAGATCCAAACGCCAACAAAGGCCAGAAGGAATTTCCCCATGAGACACGTCTTGAATGGTGCCTTTGGTGCCCTCGGAAGGCGCAGTTCCATTTTGGAGTCACCACGATTGGTTCACCTGGTGCGAGACGTAGAAAACGGCTCAGATGGGCGTGTGGGCTTCGTTTGCTTGATTTTGTGCTGCACTTTTTGCCACGTTGTTTTTTGGTTTCAGGTTACTTTTGCTTGGTTAGTCGGTCGATTGACGCTGGTTAGGTAGATAGGTAGGAAGTTAGATAGGTTTGTAGGTTGGTAGGTAGGTTGGTAGGTTGGTAGGTTGGTACGTTGGTGGGTTGGTAGGTTGGCAGATTGGCAGGTTGGCAGGTTGGTAGGTTGGTAGGTTGCTAGGTTGGAGGGTTTAGGTTGGTAGCTTGGTTGCTTGGTTGCTTGGTTGCTTGGTTGCTTGGTGCAACGGTTGGCTGTTTGGTGCCTGCACCGGTTGGTTGGTTGGTGCAACGGTTGGTTTGGTTGGTTGGTTGGTTGGCTGGCTGGCTGGCTGGCTGGCTGGCTGGCTGGCTGGTTGGTTGGTTGGTTGGTTGGTTGGTGCAACGGTTTGTTTGTGCAACGGTTGGTTGGTTGGTTGGTTGGTTGGTGGGTGGGTGGGTGGGTGGGTGGGTGGGTGGGTCGGTCGGTCGGTCGGTCGGTCGGTCGGTCGGTCGGTCGGTCGGTCGGTTGGTGGTTGGTACAACGGTTGGTTGTGCGCTTGCTTGGTCCGAACACCGAGGGGTCTTCATTTTTAGGGCCGACCCAAGTATTGCTTGCTGCCGTGGGTACTCGCATGTTATGTGTGGAATCCCTGGCCGTATTTGGGGCGGAATGTGAAAAGCAGGAGAATTGCTTTGCTGCTTTTGCGCGCCAGGCAGACAACCAGCCGCCGCCCCAGATGAGAGGAAAGGATTGGGCAGTTTGCGGTTTGCTTGGGCAGAGGAACAGGCTTTGGAGAATCCTACAACTATCCCAAAATTTCCATTCTCCCAAAATCAAACCCAGGGGGACGAACATGTGTTTTAAAAGTTCCAAGATTGCCCTTTGGGTTACTTTTAACTTGGAAGCCAAAGGGAAACAATCCATTTTGGGGTCCCTTTATAGGGCGCACCATGGAGTTTTCCCCGTCGGCATCGATCGGAATCGATCGTTGAGGTGCTTCGAGCTCCCAAGTGAAGTCGAGCAATGGCTTGACTTGGCCCTGGAGGCCGGCATTTTGGGAGACTTTAGGAAACCTGGTTCAAAGATGGTGAGCCCAAAACCATGTAAAGTGTGACACCCCCTCAAAATGGTGGCGTTTGCTTGTGGTTCCCATTTAAGCCCGCACACATGGGATGCCTTCAAACAAATGGCAAACCTGTGCTTCCCTACCAAAACGTGAGTTCCCTTCTTGCGGACGTCGAATCCGTGGGAGCAAGGCTGAGCATTGGTTGATTGATGCCCTTGGGCTCATTGAGTTCTGGTGCATGTTGTTTTGGGATCTGCCAAGTCTTCCTTTTATATTTATGAAGTATGGAAATGAGCCAAGTCTTCAAGAGAACTCGGCGAGGCGATGTTCGCAATTGGCAGGTACCGCGGGAGGACCAGTATGTGAGACAGCAGCCCCTGCCTTGGATTGGCTGAGTTGCGGAGTTCCTGGCTGAGTCAAACTCATCCCAGACCAAACAGAGGGGCACCAATGTCAATTGACAAATTGTCAACTGGTAGCTAACAAATGGGGATTTGTTTGGCATGATCACCCAGCTGATTAGTCAACACCTGGCAGATTCGTTAGGGGGGGGTGTTCGGTTTAGATGAGAATTCGGAATCCGGATCATATTTGGAATCACACGGCTGACTCAGAAGGTTTAATCTGAGATCAACCTTTGGCAGGTGGGAACAACCAAGGCCCAACATTGAGTGCATCTTCCTCTCGTGAAGAATTTGAGGATGTCTTCCAGTGTCACGTTGGCTGCGATTCCCACTGACGCCGGCTTGTCTAACCAAAACAAAGAGTGGGTGGGCAAAGGCACCAGGGCCCCCTTTTTCAGGTTCCTCAAGGTGCGATGAGTTTCTCTTGGGCGGAATCAAGCGCTGCATCTCTCAAAGCTGGTTTGATCCATGGTCCATGCCGATCGGCCCTGATTTGATCCATCGATATCTCTAACTGGACATGTTGGTACTGGTGGATACGGCCGATAGAGAGATTCCCAGGTCCAAAGTGTCCAAGCCCTCATGCAGCCACCTGAAGGATTCCCAGGATTTCATCCCAGATAATTGAAAGCCCCAATGGTCCTTGTTGGATGGTTTTTAGGCGCACTCAAAGGAAACCAACCAGATCAACGGCCCTTATGTCGAGACACCAATGTCAGCGATGGCCCTCGAGTTGGCAGCTTCAGGCCGCGTAAGGCGGAGCGCCACCAGAAGCAGATCGCGGCAGCCAGGTTCTCCGATCCCGCGGTCTCGTTTTGTGTGTGTGTGAGTTTGTCATCAAATCCCTTAGCTACCCTCGTGTTGCGCTCGCAAATCTGGTGTTCAGCACGGCCAAGCTGGGGTTGTGTTTCACAAGCGCACCCTTGGTGTGGGTGGATTGAAGGGAAGCCCAGAAACCACTGCCATCCTAGGGCCCCTATTTGGACGTAGGCCACGGGAGGGCCACCGTGGCCCTTTCAGTGTCGCAACTCGTGGGCTGGGCAAAAGGAAAATCGGCGCCGGTGGAAACCACCAGAAAATGACCACACCCTTGAGACATGGGGGGAATGAGATTCCCACAGCTGGTTGTGAATTCATGGCTAGATTTTTGGGACATGACGGGCCGAAATGGTACGTTTTTTTTGTTTTTTTTTTTAAAAGATCATTTAGAATAGCTTGAAGTTGGCCACATAGGCAAAGTCATGCCCCTCACATTTGCCCAACCCTGCTGATTGGTCTTTTGGCTCAGCAGGAGAATAGTTGTCGTAAAACATGCGGTTATGAGGAAACTTCAGATAGCCCGCTGCAGGTACAGCTATGAGACCTGGCTGACAGTCACCTTATCACAGCTGCGCTTGCCGCACCAGGCGAATCGGATCGAACGAGCCAATCGCTCGAAATAGCTTTGCCTGGAAGCATAGAACACCTCCCCAATGACTATTGGTTGTTTTGGTCGGTCGGTCGGTCGGTTGGTCGGTCGGTCGGTTGGTTTGTTGTTTTGGTCGGTCGGTTGGTTTGTTTGGTTGTTTGTTTGGTTGTTTGGTTGGTTGTTTGGTTGGTTGATTTGGTTGGAACGGAGGCGTTGCAAGAGGAGTTTGGCGGCACGCGAGAGGGGAGTTGTTATGATTTGTTGCTTGCACCTGATCTTGGTAGCGCGCGTGCGACAGGAATCAAACCCTAGCATTGTTTGTGTACCGGAAAAAAGCAGAGGGTGAAGGTGATTTGGGGCAACACTGTAGGTTTCATAGGCCTTTCAACTGATGCATCCGGGTACCTGTTTGGGGTTGATGCAGCTCGAGCATCGAAATGATTTTGAAGGCCCAGAAAGTTGTGGGCTGCCATCGAGTGCCCATTGCCTTCAACAAGCAGCTGCAGCTCATTGATGTGCTGAATCTCGAGGAGGGGCGAAGTGCCGCTGAAACTTTGCATGGTTGCATGGTTCCTCTTTGGTTTGAACAAGGGCGTGCCTTACAAAGTGACTCTGCGGTTCCACCCCAGCGAGCAAAGGGTATCCTGCCATCATGGCAGTGCATGGAGCTTTTTTGGGGAAGGGGCTTGCACTTCCATTGGTGGAAGTGTAAATCCTGTTTTTGCACCGGAGACGTCCCACCCACGTGGCCGTGCAAAGCTTGGCAAAACGTAAGGAGTTCGGAGCGGCTCACTGGCATTGGGAGATATCCTGTGTGTGTGTGTGTGTATCATTCTGGGAGCGTTAAAGGGAGACTGAAGGAACGCCAACCATTTGGGGGAGTTCACTATTTTGAGACACAACCATGTGTTCTGCGTGGATACGCAGGCAAGCTTCAGTAGGCCGCGTCGAAGTAGCGTCGAGGATGATTAATCTCAGCTACTTAACCCATAGTTGACTTGGGCTGGTCAATCCAAACAACATCATTCCCTCCGGATAAGGTAGGCTTGACATTGTTTGGTGATCAGCTTGTAGTCTTGTTTCCCCGTATAATATACAAATATATATATATATGATTTTTAGCTGTAGAATGGCCACCCAGTTGCCGAGGTGCAACCTTTTATGTGTTTGTTTGAGGAAAAGGACAAGTCCTGTCAAGATTACCTCCGGCCCAGTCAAAGATGCCTGTCGGATGCCAAACCGGTCAAAATGGATTCGCTGCTTTAGGATGGTGTCTTCACTCCGTGAGTTCCTGGACTTTGCACGTTTCTGGGAGAAAACCTTTTAGCGGTGAAAAACATCGTCCACTTGTTCGGTCAGTATGCAGAAATGGCGGGGCCATGACCCTAGGGTTGATGTACCCATAAAGCTTGAGAGCGCCACGTGTTCCACCCTACTAACACGAGTCGAGTTTGTCTCAATGCTACACCACCTGTCGTTTGCCATGTCCCAAACCCGTGGGAACAACGACGATCAGTTTGAACGGAGCAGAACACGGGGCGCACCCATAGAGCTGCTTGTGTGAGTTGGGTTTCCCTAAAGGAGACATGCCTGTGGGTGTGCCTTCAAAGTGGGGACACCTAAAATGGCTTCGGTGTTCCTCTTTGGCTTTCCCTTAAAGATTCCCTCAAGAAAGCAAACGCATGAACCTGACCACATGCCCCTCATGCGCGGGTGCTGTTAGCAACACCTCGAGGATTTGGATTGCGTGGTCCCCGTTGAAACCACTTTGGCGAGCTGCGCGTAAAACCAAGCGACGGATTCTTTTGTAAGTCCTTTACTTGGGCATCAAACTCTTTTTCAGGTTTTGGAGTTGTAAAGTTTTGCAGATTCCATGGATTTGGCTTCCTCATGTTGCAGCGATTTCATTGTTCCCTTTGTTTCTTGCTTCGCCACCAACACTAATTTGACCCACGATCAAGAGCTCCCTGGTGATTAAGGGAGGCACTTTGGGGCTAACTCCCTGGTGTGAACGTGTGATAAACCTCTGCTGTTTAAGCCACCTTATTTGGGTTTCCCTAAGGTCTCAATTCTGCTGAAACGAGCCTGTTTCTTGAACAACCTTACCGTTGGGTGAAAGTTGATGGCATGTTTCCACCTTTCGGTTCAGTCATCTCCTTTGAATGGGTGTCCCTTTTAAGTTAGTTTGGTTAAAATAGATGGCACTGGTTCAGATGGGGTTTATTCCATTCACCAGAGCCATCTATTTTCCAAAAGGCCACCTATGCTCCTTTGCCCCCACGGTCCATTAGTCAGGACCTCACCGCCCCGGCCAGCCGCATCACCGGCGCCGCCGAGCTCCGGCGCCGCCCAGATCTCAGTCCCGTCGAGAGCTTAACCCTTTGAAAGGCGGTGAACGTTGGACAAAAGGGCTGAAGGCCCTTCAAAGGCTTAAGATCCCTTTTAAAAAAAGGGGTGGAAAATTCGGGACCCTGGCGGTGAAGATTGGGGTCCAAATTTGGGGGGCGTATATGTGGTTGTTGTTTGAGGGTCAACCCACAACTCTGAGGGTCTATCCCCCAAGGAGGACATTTTTGCTATGCCCTCACCGGAGAAGGGCGGCTACTTGTCTTTTTAAGCCCATGCAGGAAATCAGTCCCATGCATGCCCCGGAGAAGAGAACAAAACACTGTTATTGGCAAGATTGCTCAACTGTTCCCTTTGCTTCTGTTCATGTTTAGAAGTTTAGCGGCCTGAAGCAAAGACACAACCGTATTTTTTTCGCGCATCCCACGTCGTCGGGCAGAAGACGTGCGCGTTGGCCGTCGGAATCTCGGAATCGGACTCCGAGGCCAGTTAATGCAGCTGGGCTGGGCCATCCACGGCATCCGCCTCTCTGAGCTCTACGAGGCGGCGAGGACTGGCACCCTAAGGCGGGATCTCAGCGTACAAACCAACCAAACCTTGGTGGTTCCCAGCCATCCGGTTCCTTAGTGTTTGTAGCCTTTTAGTGTTTAGTGGGGATTTGTCCATTTAACCCACTAAAAGTAAAACTTTTGGCAGGGGATTGGAGGACAGCCCAGAAACAAAGCATGAAAGAAAGAATGAAAGAAAGAAACAAACAAACAAACCAACACACATCAACAATATGCAGAAGCGTTTTTCTGAAAATGTAAATTGCATCCCAAGTAAACATGTCTTGTTCCCCAGCTGAAAGCCTTGGGCCCTTTGCCCAGCTTCAGGTTTCCTAAGGAAGGGCTTCAGGGTTGCCTTTGGAAGGTCTCCTGCGCCGGGATTCCTCACTTGTGTATTGGCTTCAGGAAGCGTTGGCCATGTCTGGAGAGATCAGGATGGCAGGGGATGGCAACCAATGAAGTTAATATCTCCCTGTTTCTCCCCAACAGCTGAGAATCACTTTTAACCAAGCAAGTTGAGCTTTTGCCCAGTCGAATCCGGGCTGAAGATGTGAAGTCGGGTGACACGGTTTGCAAAGGCAATGTGACCTCTTCAGATGCACGTGTTTGGAAGGCATCGTCCTACTTTGCAAGGCCCGGTATCATTGAAGCATCCCAATTTGTCGCGGCCATGGTCCTTTTGTTTGATTCGCGGAAGGGGATAGGATCTAGTTGAGATGGGCCCGTTTGTTTTGCTTTTTTTTTCCCGGGTCTGCCAAAGAAACAAGTGTGTTTGTTGGTTTTTGTTGCCCCTCCCCGCTGCCGCTGAAGGTTTGGGACATGCATCCTTTGAAGACTCTGCTTGGGTTGCCCCAAGATCAATGGACGTTTTCACCTTTGAATATTTCAGTGTGGACGTGTTTCTTGGCTCCAAAACAGTGTCCCCGTCCCCATAGAAAGTCGACTCCATTGACAAGCGCTGGGATCTGATTGGAGCGACCAGAGTCAGCCCCAGTTCTAACTCCGCCTCCACCCGTGAAGGGCTCTTTTTTCTCCGTGGCGCTACAACTTCCTGATTCGTTTACGGTCGATTTGGGGAGGGGTGTGGGAAACACTAAATTTCCCATGTGTTCAGTAGAGGCAACAACTCAGTTAGACCGTGGCTCACGTTTCATTCACAACTCGGACCCGCGCTTTCATCGAAAGATTGGGTCATATCGGTTGAGGCTTGTCGTCTCCAAGCTGGTTTCCTGCTTGGACGCAACAGCCAGGGACTAAGTCTTGGATTTCACGCATGGAAGATAGGTACAAAATAATTTCCAAATTCTCCAAACAAGCCAGGCATTACTAAAAAGAAGATCATAAGAAAGCCATGCAATGTAATGCTTATATTATATAAGTTCTGGTTTTCTGGAGATATAATCCTATTTCCTGATGAATATAATTATATTCTTATAAGGACTGATATTAATGTATCGGAGATTCCAAAGATGAACCCAGATAATAAATAATAGATTCCTAAGCCTTTATGATTACAATTTTTAACTAGTGAATGAAATAATATAGTAAAATAATATGACCTGGAAAGATAAAGTGGTTGATGATAAATCTTTTATTAGCTGTTATCTGTCTTGTTGCTTACAATAATATATTTCTTTGTTGGGTTTCTTATCGTTCCCTTCCCTTGGCTTTTCTTTTTATTTCTTTCATGATATCTTCGTTCATAATAAAATAGCTCCAGAAACACAGATAGGAGCAAAGAAGAATAGAATTGATGAAGAGATAGACAGGTTCCTTTCGTAATAGCAAAATGTATTCTCTGCCAATGTGAGGCATTTAACCTTGGGTTTCATGGAGAAAAACGCAGCAGCCTTTCGCTGGTAGCTGATAACATCGCTTTGTGTTCGACTGTCTGCATATAAGCAATGCGCATGGTGCATGTGTTGTGAATGTGTTATTCCTTTTGCCAACAAACATGGAAGGAAGTGAACAGGATGGTTTTCAAAGACCATCATCAGCTTGAAACAGGGCCCCTTGTCCACTTCCATGACTGCTGGCCAAAGGGTTTGGTTGTTGTGCTGAATCTGCCGCACTTCTGCCCCGTAAGGCCGCTCAAGCTGGATTTGCAGAGCCAGCGCTACGTAGAAAGGCTTGAGTTCGACAAGCGCCGGTTGTGCTCAATGCGCGGTAGGCGTAGTAGGCATAGCTCTACGCTGGGGTCCGATATGTTTTGGTATTTCTATTGTTGACTAAACATGAAACAGGTGCTGAAGGTGTGTTTGGCATACCTTGAGGCTGGGCCAAGTAAGGTTGCAGCACGCCTCAGCCACCATCACACTCTGAGTGGCCATGGTTGCTTAGGTGCCCTTTTCGCATCCCTGACATGGAGGGCCCATGAGTGTCGCGGTGTTTTTTGGCGCATAGTCTGAAAATTGAATGTCGATGTCTTGTTTGTCTTTGAAACTTCTCGCTCCCTGAGTTTCTGGACTCTCCATGTTAGCGGTAAAGCAAGTTCCGACTTTTCAATTTTCTGGCCAATCCACTCAGTGGGAAAGTTTCTGCCACCTTGCAGGCGCCAAAGGTCCGGCTCTTGAATCAGCCTCTTCGGTCAAGACAGGACAAGAAGGCACGGCCAGTTCTGCACAGAGCCCCAAACGCCTGGGTCGAATGGTTGCAAGAGGCAACAGTTGCGCATAAACCTGCGCGGCTTTCCAGCCTTTCAATCATTTACATGGGTTTGGGTCAGCAATAGTGGGTGTGAGTTTGACTCAGGGCATGCTGGCTGACTGTGAGATTTATCGGCTATGGAAAGCTTGATGCAGCTAGGTTGGCCTTCAAGCTGTTCGATGCGAGTTTAAGCAGCCCGGGAGTTTATTCTGGTGATTCTCGTTTGTGCGCTCCCTGCTAGTGGTCCCGGGGGCAACCCACAGGTTATCTTTTTGTTCTTCGCAGCAAATAAATTCATTCAGAGTCACAATTGTCAAGGTATTCCTGGCACAAACTTGCCAGGAGCTCGCAGAGTTGTCGGATGAAGAGGCTGGATGCAGCGCTTTAAACCCTGATTGGTGGAGATAGATCCCCATGTGAATGATGTCCAGCAAGGGGCCCCCAAGTAAAGCTACAACATCGCGTTCCGGGGGGGGGGCGGTTGCGACGTCATGATGAAGGTTTCTTTCGTAGAGTTCCTGTATTCCAGGTCAGTGAATTATTTGGCTTTTTGAAGATGTTGGCCAATGGAGCAAAGGAGCAAACAGGAGGCTTCCATGCACCAGCCAGGGAACATTTCTCAGATTTTTAGCGGTTGCTGTATCCCCTGTCAAACGGCGTGTGCCGCTTGAAGTGTTTGATACAAGCTGGGGCTTGCGTAAACAGTGATTTGAACAGTAGTGGTTTGAACAATAGGTGTTTGCACCATAGTGGCTTGAAGCATGGGTTGTTTGCCACCATCGTGGTTCATATAACCATGGTTCCAAAGCCCATGCTTGCCTTTTTGTGTTGCCAGGAGTGGGGCTCTTTGCCTCGCCGAGATCCGCGAGCCGCCCCGGGCTTGAGGGGATCCATGTCCTTGAGGGTGGCAACAGTGCTGGTGCTTGTAGTGGATTCTTGGTTTGGGGGCGCACCCAAATGTCCACCGCAAAAAGCCAGGGGGGCCCGGGCAAGCAAGTGGGTGTGTGTCAAAATAGGGTTTTTTCCCGTTTTGGGCTCCCTTTAGACCAGGGTGAAACGGCTGCCCTCAAAATACAGAGACTCGAGTAGTTCGGATCTGGGCAGAGACCAAATCCATAGCTTTTAGCTGTTGGGAAAACAAGACTCCTTCCTTTGCCAAGGTGAAACAAGTACCTTTGCATCAGACAAAACGCGCACGGCTGTGCAATTTGGCGAGGTGCTTCATGAACGAGCCCGGCAGGCTGCCAAAGCAGCTGAAGTTAGCAGCATTGGTTAAAGAAAAGAAAAGCGGTCTGGACAGGTGCATGCGTACCTCGTGAAATTTGTGTTAAGCAAACAAATAAAGAAATACATATTTTAAAATGTATATATTTCTAGAAATATATTTTGACACAGGCGGTTTTGCATAAACACTAATTTGCATATTTTGGATCCAAACATTGTATTTTGTATTGTGTTTTATATTTTAATTTATAATATTATAATATTAATGAATTAATGATATATTTATAATTATTATATAATATATACATAATATTTATTAATTAATTAATAACAGATATATATATATACAATAGATATATTTTGTATATATTTACAATTATAAATTGTTATATATATATATTATGAATTATTTTGTAATTAATATATATATAATAGATAATATATATATATAAATAATATTATATAATATTATAATTAATATAATACATATTCGAAATATTATATATAAATTATAATTTGATATATTTATATATAAATAATGATATTTATAATAATTGAATTTATGGGTATATTCTTAGATTGGTTTTGGAATTTGGGTTGGAGTGTTTTTGGAAAATATAACCATTTTATATGTGTTATAGATTATTTATTTAAATTTATGTATTGGGAAGGCGGTTTAGATTATAGATATTAACCTATTTGGATTATGCCGGCATATGTGTGGAAGATATAATGCTTTTCATTTTTATAGGAACCAATTTCTTTTTTATATTTTGGGAAATATTATTGTCGAAATATCCATAATATTTCGGAAAAAAATAATATAATAATCGGGATATTTTGGAAAATGGGTCGGGGCTTTGAATGAAGCTATTTTAAAATCCTTAGTTATATATTCCAAATCCAAGAGAATTGGTTGTGTTAGCTTATTTGAAAATATGACGTTAGTTTTCGGTCGCTTATTATTAATATACAAATTAGAATTTAGATATTTTAAATCTTTAGCTCTATATTACGAAATAGCAATGACCGCTTCGAACTAATTGTTGAAGGCACGAGTCTAATTACCCTTAACCCTTAACTTTAAAATCTTAAAGTATATTTCTTCTTTTGGCGGTTTTAAATATCACCTTTTGGGTTAACTTAAAATGATTGTCTTGCGATGAAGTTGAAAGGGAAAATTTTTGGAGCCCTATTTGCTGCAGGATCGACACGAAACAACCAGCTTTTTGGTTGGTGTTGTGTTCTTTTGCTAGAAAAAATAATTTAGGGAAACCAATCCATATTACTACCAAAAAGGGATACATTTTCAGTATCCGAGGCACACTAAATCCCGCCTCTGGGGCAGGAAAGGGCAAAGCTTCTGCCTGGCGCGGGTGGATTCGGTGAAAGGCGGGTACAAAGCGCCCACGGGAAGGGTTTCTTGATCCCATGTTATTTTATAGAGTATTATTGTTTTTTGTATTTTCCCTTTTGACCTTTGGTTTAAAGGGAAACCGCGAAAAAATATATATATCAATTTTTGGGTCCTCGAAATTTATATATCCCCCTGTCCATGTCCATGGCTATGCTAGGCAAGCGCAGCCGCTGGGCGTTAATCGGCGGAGGTCCAAAACGGAACCGGGGCGAGAGAAGGAACCTAATAACGACCCCGGGTTTTATGAATTTGTGGGCAAAATGATTTTAGGAATGAAGGTTTTCCAATATAAGAAGAACATATGTTTTTTTCCAATATGTATAAATTATTGGATTGTATGTTTTAGTCCTTTCGGTGAACAACAATTGGAATGTTGGGTGAATCGAGAAGGCATATTAATCTCGGCTAGGCTTGTCTAGCTTAGAAGGCGGCCTGTCGCGATTTTAAGTGGAATTGAGACACGGAGTTAGCCTTGGCCAGAGAGAGGTTGCAAACAGGATTGGCATAGGCATTGTTAGGGACGTAATTGATTGGGAATCCTTAATTGGTCTTATTTTGGGATTTTTGTCTAACTATTAAACATATTCCGATTGCAATTTTTTAGCGTTATGTAAATATATTTTAAGTTGTTTTCCTTTCGATAGGTTGTAGCGTTTGCGAAGGTTGTAGCGCAAGCGTTACAAGTCTGTAATTGCTGGCGATACGGCTCGGTACGATGGATGATTATGCGCTTTGATGGCAATTATGTAGTTGGTCAATGCTATTTTTCCCCTTTTTTAAGTTGTTGGGGTTATTCCTAACATAGGTATCCGTTTTCTGCTAGGGTCGTTGGGCAATTGGGAGTAGTATGTTTGTGCGGTGCTTGAAAAGATGTTCCAGGCGAAATTCCTGCTCCTGGTTAAATCTAATGGCATGCATCTAGCCGGCGCGGCGTGCTTAGCTTGAGAGTATGGAAAGGTTTTAAAGTCTAGCTATTTTGTTACCTGAGGGTCAGCGCATTCTTAGCAAGCAATCTGCGGATTTCATGATGAGCATGGGGTATTTAGCGCTCAAATTGAGGGATTCTCCATGTCAATTTGTTACGAAAGGTGAAGCCTATATTAAAATTAATTAACCAAACAAACATGCCCTTTTTCTCATGGTCATTGGGCTTTGCTTATCCTATCGCAAGCTCCGGGATCGGGACTTAAACGAGCTCATTATGAAGATCCCTTGCTTAGGAATCCCTTATGTCGGGTGTTAGATTTTATTTGTTATGGACCTTTAAAAAATATGATTTTATTTGAATTTATTAGTAAATTGATTTATCGGAGTGGTCGGCCATTAGTTTATTGCTTTATGGAATTCTATTAGGTCCCATATTTTTTTGTTACTCCATAAATCTTTTTTAATATGCTAGGAATGAATTGCTTGTGCATATTTGTCTACGACCATGAATTGGAATGTTGTTATATTCTGATTGTGGTATTCTTCTGCCATGGGCTTCATCTCGTATGCTGCTAGAAAGTAGCGGGCCCCCGCTAATATAATATACATGATTTATATATCATTAAAAAATAATATATAAAACATATTAAAATAGAATAATATTATTGATCGATATAATATAAAATAATATATATTGAAAATAATATTATATTGTACATTTAATTGATTTAATTATAATTTATATTAAAAATATAAATTTAATAATTATAATTCATCGACATTTTTTAATATAAATATATATCTATATATTATAAAACAATAATAATAATAATTAAGAAATTGATTAATAAAGAATTAATTTGAATTGTTTAATCAAAATAAAATATTATCGATATTTATTTAATTGAATACTTAATTTATAGAAATAATATTTTATATTGAAATTTATAATGTTATATTTATATATTTGTTAATTGTTATAATATAGATATATTATAGTTGATTTAGTTTAATTGATTTTTTTATTTTATAGTTTAATATTATTTCTTTTAAATATATATAATAAATATAATTTCTTCTAATTCGTTTTTAGCGAATTAGTTATATTCCTAAAATTCCGATTTCGAAAAATAATATTATATATTATAATATAATTAGATTCGTCGATATTAATTAAATGAGTAGATGGTAGTCCGCAATTTGTGTTTTTTTTTTCGGAATCTTTTATCAAAGCCGAAGGTTTTTAAGATTGTTATTTTTGGGTATGTTGTGGTTTTGGGTCTATCATGCTAAAAATCTGCGTTTCGCCCAGGTCTTTAGGGGGAGGGGTTCTCCTGGACGTATAGGATCTATATCCCGAGCATTATCAGGATTATTTTGTTGTCATGAATTTGTTTCTTCTTTGTAGATACTAATAGTAGTTTGTTATTTTAAACGATCTTGGAATTAGCTTATTAGGGGTTTGGGTGGGGCTATGTGCAATCATATTTTGAGAAATTCTTGAAATTTGATGAGTATCTTTTATAATTCCCCAATTATTATGAATTATGTCCTATATGATCGTATTTTTGATAAGTATAACAAAAAAGTCTTGGATTTTTCTTATTTTTGATTTTCTAGATCTTTAATAGATATTGGAAATATAATAATTTTCGTGTTCAAGATTTTAAGATTTTTAGACATGCAATATTGACCAAACACAAATAATATAAAAGGATATGGGGAATACTAGGAATATAGCTAGTTAACAACAAAAAATGCAAAAATCTAAGGTTCTTAATATTTATCACAACCAACCATCCAAAATCAATATTAATAATTCCTCCTCAAATACCCTAAAATCAATTTCCAAGAAATATTTAGGTTGTGTATTTATACCCTTTCGGGGATGAGTTGATCCCTTATTCTTCTCCTGTTATATTTTCAATCCAGCGGTCGAAATCATACCGATATTATTTATATTCTCGCTAAAACACCCCATATAATTAAAATAATTAATAAATAAACGAAATTCTAATCCGTCTCTATCAATTCCATTCTGCCACTAAATAAACGATACTACAAAAAACAATATTATATATTTGGTCTTCCAAAAATAAATCACCCTAAAATAATACTAATTATCAATATTAAATCCAAATTAATTTATCAGCATCGACGAATCATATAACAATATCAATATACATATTCCAATTCAAATAAAACAATTTTAAAATAAAATAATATCCTATTTATTTAATTCGAGCATTATATATATTTGTATAATTATTATATTTAAATTTCAAATATTATATTTATTTTTTATCTTTATATTATTCTTCAATTATTATAGTATTTCTATATAATTATTATATATATCCAATAAAACCCTAATAATATAAATTAAAACCAAAAATTTCAAATACAAAAACAAATAAATATAAATATTCAAAATATATTTTAAATATTTTTATTAATTTCGAAAAATACATTATAATATTATATAAATTATTTTAAATATAATATTCTAATAGTTAATACATTATAAATAAATAAAACATATTCAATTCAATAAATATTATATAAATATATAATATATATCATAAATTAATTAATATTAACACTATTTATTTTTATTTGTTTTTATCAATTACTATCTTTCATGTTTAATATATATTTTAATATTATTATTATATTTAATTTATAATTTATTATATTCATTAAAATAGGATAATATTTGATTGTTTTTATTCATCAATAATTAGGAGAGACTATTTCAGACACGATAACACATGTATCTCTTCCTATCTCTAATCGTTGAGAAATATTTGTTTCAGATAATTGATGAATGTGATTGTGTTCGCTTCGCGAGCTACGAACTCGGCGTTGAATGTACATCCAGCCGGCGAAATGTCAAAGGATGTTCATTTCAAGCAAGCCCTGCCCCCTTTTTAGATCAAGCCATGCATGAATCAGAAGAACAAAGAACACATGCTGGACTCCAAAATTCAGCAGACTTCGAGCATACCCGTCCTGGCATTCTAAGAAGCAAGGCGGCCAGAACTGCGTCAAGGTCAATTGACAGTTCCCCACCGAGCCACGATTGTCTCAACGAACCATACTTTGACCAAGCGCCTGCAACACGCGCTTGCCCTGTGCCTCATCTGTACATCTATGAGCAGGGGTCACGAAAGCCCAGGTCATTGCCTTGGAAAACACACGCAAAGGCTAAATGAAATAATACAAACATAGAGAAATAATACAAACAGACTCACGAACAAACAGACGGACGGACGGACGGACAGACGGGACGAGAGACGGCCAGGACGAGAGACAGCCAGGACGAGAGACAGCCAGACAAACAGAAAAAGAGACAAAAATCAGACAAACAGACCAAACCAACAAACGAACAAACCACTAACCCAACAACCCAACAAGCAAAGCACATCAAATCAAATCAAGCCAAAGCAAAACAAGCAAACAAACAAACACGCAAAGACACAAACAAAGCAAGCACACAGCAGAAACACCAATAACAACAGGAACAACATCAGCAACAATTGTGTTGCTTCTTGGACCCAAAAAGATAGGCGAGATGACACACGTCACGATATAAAGCATTGAGAATCATTCATGAATGCATGCTTTTTGTAGCGAAGAAAACGCTCTGGATCGGGAAAGAGCCTTCTTTTCTCCTGATCGTTTTTTCTGCGACAGCTCAAGTGAACAATAAATCCCAAATCGTTGGCACTGAAACTTGTGCCAATATGATCGATCTTCCAACTGACTTTCACTGTCCCTGTTTCCCTCGCATAGAATGCCTCGATTTCAGCAGCATCCATGTGAACTTGTAACGACTGCTACTGAAATCATGAAAAGGAGTCTTCCTGGGGGTCTCACAACAGAAGTCTCCCAATCGTTGGTTTCTTTTTGGCCTAGCATTAAATATCAACCAAAAGGGGGTTCACGGAATAGAATCAAAAGGGCGCTTTGTGCCACACCTTTTGTGGACATCAATCAGGTGGGTTGCTCATGTCCGCCAACTTAAGCGACATAGCCATGGCCAAACTTCTCTCCTGCCTCCACCTACGGGAGAAATTTGCACGCGAAATCCTGCTGTTCGGCTCACAAACCAGGCGCTTGGTTTGGCCAACCACGTTTAGTCTTAGCCATGGTTGAGAGAATTGGGAAAAGGTCTTATGTTTTGCCACTAGGATCTTCCAAAACACCATGAAGCCAAGAAACTCGGGAAGTTGGCATTTCCCATTCTTGGGCTTTGATTGGTTGGCTCAGTGCAACCGAATTTGGTGGTGTTCCCTTGATTTTCCTTTTAAGCAACCCCAAAAAGGTTGAGCCTTCAAGACAAGACACGCCCCCATGGTACCTGACGCGCGGTTTCATAAAGGTCAAACATGCGCCATCCATCGCAGATACCGACAAATTGGACTTCAGTTCCCAAGTGTGGCTGGCAGAAGCATTTCTTGTTTGAAGCTTGTGTCATTTGCTTTGCCTGTTTGGCTTGGCTTTCTGCTTCCCGCACCGAACAAGCCGATCTAAGCCACGCGCCTTGGCTGATGTCATCGACCACGTCAATCAAACCTGGAACGTAATCCCAGAGCCATATTCCTCGCTAAACACGCCGAGATAAACCACGGGATATTTTACCTGCCATGAAGGGAGGCACGAAAACAGGCCGGAAACATCAGCTGGAAACTAGGCTAAGCATTGCCCCGAAGGCCAGAGGAGAACATGGGGCCCGTTGCTTGAGGTTTTGTAGTGACATCATATCTATATGTATATGCATACAAATGCGTGTAAATGCACATGGTACGCCCCTCCCCTCCAGCCCATTTCTCTGAATTTGCTTTTGACAAACAATGAAATCTAAATACCGGTATTTAGATCCCAAATCCAAGATCCAAGATTGCTGGGGACTTGTGTGTCTGTGAGTGGGTGTGCGAGTGTGTGTGCACCTGCGTGTCTGTGTGACTCTGTGTGCACTTGACTTTTGAGATCCTTATCTTGACACATACGCATCGGCACTTTGTACGAGTACATTTCTTTGAAAACATGTTCTCTGCCTGGTGTTTTCCCAGACTTCGAAGGCTTGTCTAGCTTTCCTTTTTATCTGATGCATAAGGCTCCAACAACATTTTACGCAATGCTGGACTGGCAGAACGCCGAGGACGATTACAACATGCGGCCTTTAAGCAAGTTTAGACCATCTTAGATCCTGGTGAAGGAAAAACCAACATGTCAATGTGTTTTAGCGGCCTCAAGGGAAATGATGAGAACCCGCGACGAAGTTTGGCAAGGTGACCAACAAACCACAAGAAACCACCCAGCTTGCCAAGCGCAAAGGACATTTCACAGCCCTGAATTCAACCGCCTGCCTCCATGACCAATTTTAACATCAACAGCCCCCTCAGTTCAACAAAAGCTTGACTGTGTCAAAATGATGATTTTCCTTTTAGCGTCCTTTCAAAACTACCCCAAAAAACACCTCCAAAAACAAAAGCACGGACGCACGCACACACACACACAGACACACACACACACAGACACACAGACACACAGACACACACACACACACACACACACACACACACACACACACACGGACACACCCATGCAGTCATCCCAAAAGGCGGCCAGAGATGTGCAATTTGACATATGGATTGTGAGTGGAGGCCGGTTGCTACCCTGGCCTGTGATGGACATCACGACCACCTGAGCTGAGCGGTTGGATTGGACGGGGCTCGCCACCAAAGCAAGTAAACAAAAATGATTGAACCAACCCCCTGTGATTGCACACTGAGATTGGACGAAGTTGACAGAAGCCAACCCCAAAGCTAGTGTTGTGTGTGTCCCTCCCTATCCACCTACCTGCTTGCTGACCTATTGATGTCAATCCATCTGCCTGCCTATTCATCCATGCATCTATCTGCACATCTATTTGTCTACCTAGCTATCTGGCTACAAGTCTCTCCGTCTGTGCGCATCTACACATCTATCCAAGGATCTATCTGTGCATCTACTACCTAGCTACCAACCCAGCTAACTAATCTGTTCTAATCCTTTCCGAATGTAAACTCATCCTAGTCTGGTCTAGATCTAAGCTGTCCTTTCTCTCTTTCATCTATTTGGCCGTCGTTCGTTCTATCTCTCTTAAGCTATGAATGAGTGCGTTCTCTCGCTCGTTCTATCTCTCTATCTTCCTAATGATTTATCAAACCTCGCTCCCAAGTTCTGCGCCTGTCACGAAAGTCAACGTGCGCCCCTACAAAGCATATCAGGCTCTGGTGATACGTGCTCCAAAGCGCTGCGCCTGCCACAAAAGTCAACGTGCGCTCCAAAGTGCTGCGCCTACCATGAAATCAACGCTATGTGCTTCAAAGTGCCGCGGCTGCCGTGCAAATCCATGCTTCCGGCGGGACATATCCAAAGTGCTGCGCCTGCGACGAAACTTGATCACAGCTCCAAAGTGCTGTGCCTGTCTCGCAAAGTGAGCAGTTGTCAGAAATTAGCGATGGACTGCGGCGCAGGAATGATTTCGACCGATTTTCGCAAACCCGCAGACAAAACACTGCGGCTGCACAGCGAAACGGCCCACAAAGTCTGAAAAGCTACGATTTGCGCACGAGCGCAACGAAAACAACATGCTGCAAGTCATACAAGTCGCACATTCTGAGCCTTCCCCAGCGGCGCGACAATCTTTGTCAACTGCGAACTCTGGCGGACGCTTGCGAACGCTCGCAAACTTTTGCGGACGCGTGGCGACGCATCTCGCGACCACATGCTAACCCCCGGACCCCTTTCTATAACGGGAACCCTTCTGCTACGCATTCAGGAAAAAGTAGCCAAACTATTTGTTTACCGCTAAAATGGTCTCCCCACAAAGTATGAAGCCCAGAAACTCCGGGAGTGGCCGGTTATGCAGGTCCCTGTGTTGTGGCCCTCTTTTGGGACAGGAGCAAACTTCCAATCGCTTGCCACGGCCTCGATTCAGTACGAGCTGGAGTGATACAACCCTCACTCCTATTCCCGCATCGCCGCATGTCCATTCAAAGTTGTCTTCCCAAAAATCCGTCACAAAACTATGGGGCTCTGGTCGTTTGTCGGCTCGGTACCCGTTTTGGGGTAAATTTAAAGAGCAAACAAAAAGAACGCGTTCATTTCCGGAGACCCGGGAACTGTGGTAGTGCACTTTTTTGCGACTTTGAGGCTTGATATCTTGAGCAAGTTACACGCTTGCTTTGCTGGAGAGTGTTTGTAACTGCTAGGGTTTTCTGCATGGACTGTTGCGACATGCTGCTAGATTGCAATTTTCCTGCATCTTTCGTTTCATTACTGTTTGGAATTCGAATTGAATTATTGTCTCACCAAGTTTGCTGATTGAGCCGGTGCAGTTTACCTCATATAGTGCGCAGCGTTCTCGCTGGTTCCGACGCCTCCCTCTGGCCCATGGTCCCAGTAACCGTGTGGCCGCGCCTGCACAAAGAGGCTCTATTGCGGACAGTTGGGAGAGTGGAAAGAGTGAGTGCTTTGCCTTGAGGTTCCAACTCCAAAAACAGAACACCCACAATACTGCCCTGCAAATTAGCATCACCCCTAGGGAAACACACCTGAATGAATCAACAAAATGAAATATAGCAGAAAACCACTACTACATTGGAGAACAGGAAAACATAGGAAGGCTCACCTTACATGTGCCGGGAAATGGAGCTGTCCAAATCTGAAGCCCGCGCGGAGACAGCGATGATGCCACCCAGGAGGAACATGATGACCTAGGGCTCCGACGCTCGGCTGGAAGGAGCACCTTGCTCTTGGAAGGAATCCTCTTGTAACCTGTTTCAAGGAGGAACCCAACGAGGCAGTTTAGAGTCTAGAGGAACATTCCGTCAGGTTCCATGGTGGCAAACTTGGACCCTCGTGTAACCCGGTTTCAGGATGATTTTGTAAAACATGCTCCTCTTTAAAGTGTCGAAACCCTCTAGACGGGGGGCACCTTGATTTTCTGGTTGGGCAAAATTGGGTCAAACAACCTGACGATGGCCCGCCGCTTTCAAGAGGAACCCAAAGAAGGTTGTTTCGACACATCGGTGTCTAAACATGTTTGAACATGGGGTTGGTCAACCTTTGTTGAAGAACCATCAAAGCCCTAGCTTGGGACGGGGAGGGAGTTGTGATAGCAGTAGCTGTACAAGTGCGGTGGTTGTCACGTGCTTGTCGTGGCAACCCCTCTGCACTTTGGGGGATGAACATCCTGTTGCCCTTTTGACTGTGGCAAGGCCAAACTTTGCGCGATTCTCACAGGAGAGAAAACATTGTGGACTTAACATGCTGGCAACAGACTTTCCTGTTTCTTTCGTTGAAACAATTCAAGGCTTTGCTCCGAATAAGGGAACGCTCGGACATGGCATGGGTGATTTCCGGCTCAATAACCGACACATGTGAGAAGTTTCTCAGCACAAATAAGTTTTGTCGCCCTATACTAAGCAATGACCATGAGCCTTACCAGAAGAACATTGATCTGTTTCTTGCCTCGGTGTTTGCTGCCAACATCCAATTTCTTCATGCATCCGGAAATGCACTGCAGTAGTTGGCTTAGCCATGCTTTGAATAGGAACCGCGGGCAAACCACCCATTCCGCAGGATTCCCCAAACCAACCCATGTGACGCTCCAATATTGGTTGGGGCACCACTGACTTCAAAACCATCTTGGCCAAATGATTTTGCCCGAACCAGCAATGAAACCGGCTAATTTTGTTCATACGGGAAGCATCCAACGTGAGATTCGACGGACGGACTTTTCTGCAAGCCGGGATTGATCAATAAAACCCCTCTTAACATGGAGACATGTCAACACTCGAATCTTGTTGAGGCCAAACGGAGACCAAACGTAAACCTGCCAGGACAGGGGCACCTGGTGCTTCGCTTCCCACGCTGGCCCAAAGCTCTCCTATCCATTTTGGGTCAAACCAAAACAGCTCAAACCTCCGAACAGGGGGAGAGGACCCTAGAACTTCGAGTCGCTTGGGTCAAGGCCCCGCAGTTGCACCAAGGTAGCAATTGGGAGTTGCACCAACTGCAAGACTCAGTTTTGTTTTTTTTGACTTGTAAAACACTTTGTTCTTGCTCTGCACTAATGGACAAAACCCAGAAGCAAACAAGAAAGCCACTCCGATAAGCTTAAACAAACCAACATGCGACACCCCAATGCTGTCAAACGGCCCCAACAAATTGCCCGGAAGGTGGTCAGTTACAAACTATTTGGTAGCCGTTGGGGACCTTTGGGGTGTCCTGCATCTCACAAAGAGTGAATACTTTACTCCGCTGCTAAGTGGATTCCACCCTCCTCCCTTTTTGCTTGGTGGGTCATCAAAAAATGGCAGCAACCCCAAAATGGGTTCCCACAAAGAACATAAGAGAGTCCGGACAAATGACAGAATGATGCATCACTTGCGGGCTTTGCGAAAGACGGCATCCAGCAGCAAAGAACTAGTCGGTGTTTGGGGCTTACCCAGCCAATGTTAGTTATTACTTAATTCAGTTTCCGCCAAGAACGTGGATCTGAAACAACCATCCATCATCCATCCATCCCTCCATCCCATCCATCTCTCCATCCCTCCATCCATCCCATCCCTCCATCCATCCATCCAATCCCAGAAAGGGCGTCTTTTTGCGGAGCCCAACACATGTTGGCAACACGTGCACAACCACTCGCCCACAAAAAAAGAAACGCTCCCGCTGCGGCCGAGGCGGAAGGCCGCTGGGTCCGCTTCACCACCCAGCCCACCACCGCTTTGCCCACCACCGCCTGCCGTGCGACCCAACGAACGGATGTGCGGAACGTGCCCTTGACGGGCTGCAGTCCTGTGGGCACCCCTTTTGGAGGGGGGGTTTGGAACACGAACCGCAAAAAGCACAGTTTGGGGTGAGACAAACCTGGAGGTTACATACCCCTTTTTGACCTATTGGGGGTAGGCCATGAACTCTTGTGGTTGGAATAACTTCAAAAACGGCTGGTCGACATCCCCATGATTTCCACCAAAGCGTTCCCAATTAAGACTCATACCCATATTCGCCCGGAAACTTGAGTGCCGTGGGAGGGAACTCAACGTGCCGGCCGTGCCAGTATGGCTTTGCCACAGAGTGGGGGCTGAAGATTGGTTTCCTTTTTAGGTGTCCCTTCAAAACAAACAAAAATGGATAGCATCCAAAAATACATGTATAAGCTTCAAAATGTGACGCTTTGGCGGACATACCTACATGATGTACATTCAAAAACCAGGTTTGAGAGCGGTATCCATTCAAATTCACATCCAACCTGCAAACATCGGCCCGTGGAGGCAACTCTCAGCCAAAAGGTGCTGTGTCATTAGCTCTTGGAGGTTTGCCCAAGTTCTTCCCAGAGGTAGGATTTAGGCAGTGGATGGAGAAAATCCGCTTCGCACCGGGCAGTTGGTTCACCACGTGGGCCGCTCATTACCTCCCCCCCTCCCCCCCCGCCGGCCCCCTTGGGCCCCTTGGGGCTCGGACACCCAGTGCCGTAGCACCGCCAAGCCACAGGGAGTAGTCCAACTGGGCAGTGCCTCAAACAGACCCAGGGAGCCACCCAAAACATGCTGAAACCATTGTTTTGGACCGGTCTTTCGGCGGAGCACCAGAAGGGCCTTCTAGAATGGGATTCCAGGGCACTTTTTTAGCTAGACTAGGCCATAGGCATCGGGAGCAACAGAGCAACGGAGCAAAGCAGTTTGTCACAACACGTTTTGCGAGCGCTCTGGTCATAGGAGAGTGGATTTTCTCCCACACAAATCATGTCCACCAGAGGGAAAAGAAAAACAACATAAGTTGAACCTAGCAATCAGACCCTGGGGTTGTTGAAAAAGGAGCCAAACGTTTGTAGGATTGGGCCCACCCAAGCTCAAGCCATCTTTGGCTTTTCTGTTCGGGCCCGAACGTTTGCCCTCAACCACCCAAGGCAGGGTCAATGCGGTCGAAACGCGGGGTCAAGAACCCATTTGGGCCCATGCTAACCTCGGCTAACAACCAAAATGTACCCTCCCCCCGATTGACATGGAACCTGACAGGGGGTCCCTTCAAAGGAGAATTGTCTTCGAGGACAACCCCCCGGCAGGTTCCATGTGAAAAGGGTGGGAGCGAATGTCAAAGCGAAGGCCCAAACTGAAATGTTGCTTGCCTTCACGCGTTTCAGCCACGACATCCCAACATTTTGTCCAGCATCTTATACGTGCGTCTCTGTACCCAAGTTGGCGCCAGCCCAAAGGACAATCATAAAATTCCCTCTGCACTCATCTTGGCCTCGTGTCTTTCAGGTCCCTTCCGCGCCGCTCAGCCGAACCCCGGGCCTTGCACCAGGAAAGAGATCACCGTGGATGTTGACATCACGAAGAGGGTCGTTGCCTCGCTTTTCGAGAGCGGCAGATGCGATGCGGGTGTGCTTGTTGTTGGTGCAAATGCCTAAGGAGTAAGAACAGAAGATATTAAACAACCCTCAGCCCAGCTAAACATTGGCGACGAGTTGAGGTGGACTCGTTGTCCAGTTCCACTGAACGAGTAATGTCGTAATCGGATGAGCAACTCATTCATGGTGCAATTCCGGCACCTTGCACATCAGCCGAGGGCGAAACATGGTGCTGTCGCAAAACTGTGCGTGTTTTTGGGAGGGTATCCTTTGCAGGTTGGTGTGGGCTCATGAGCCCACACCAAACCACCCATCTTGGGAGATCCCAACCCCTGGTTGACGTTGGAAGGGAAGCAACAAAAAATAAACTTTTTGGCAGTTCAGTGGTTGGATTTCAACCACTAAACCACAACAAGCAAAAATGCAAAATGTTCCCAACAACAACCATGAACCTATCTGGACACATGTCCGACATGCCATCAGATCCGTCGCCTCAGGCCGTGGCTGTGGTAGCGCTCTGAACCTGAGAGGCGAAATTTTCGAATCCCAGACCCGTGGGTTACGCGGACGGGTGGACATGGGGATCCGTGTCCAACCATTTGGGCTGATCCAATCAAAGCGCACCACGAGTTGTTGTTTTTTTTAGAACAAAACAACAGACACACACACAAGGGCCATAGGAAGAAGGCAACTGCGCCATATGCAAGACAATTGAAATGAGGCTCCCCTGATACAGCAGGAACTAAGCCCCTCATTCCCACAACCCCCCGGAACGGTACACTCGCACATAAGGGTGTGTGTGTGTGTGTGTCCTTTCTGAGGCCTTTTGGGGTCTGTTTTCAAGGGAGTTCACAGAGGAAGGCACTCGCTACCGGGGGGTTCCCCACCACTTAGAGACAAACATAATATTCAAGCTGTTGTCGGAAATACTGCAAGCCTTTCCGAGATACCGAAGTGAGATTCCCATCCTGCGGCTACTTTGCCGCTTTACAGGGTGTTGTCTCAGAAATCGGCAACCTCAAACCTGGTATTTTACAACCATCTGGGCACCAGAATTCCCAAACTGACAATAAGAGAGCCCTCCCGTAAAGGACCTGCATCACACCTCCATAACTTGTCCAAAGCCATGGACCATGGATGCCGCAAACTAAGTTGCTCTTGCCCATGCCCATGCCATGTAATAGTGGATGTGAATGCCTTGTCTCGACCACAGACATCTGATTGACATCACATCTGCTCGTCATGCAAAGCAAACAATGGGGAACGCCTGGTTCGCCAAGTTCCTGCTTCGTTCGAGACTTTGTGGGAACAAGGGCAACCCCGCAAACTCTTTTTTGGGGGTAGTTGATTTTAATGGGTAAACCCTCCAAGAGAAACTGGAAGACATGAAGCCACTTGCTGGGGGTCCAGGAGAACCCACCCCCCCCTCCTTCCCGCAATGGCCAGCCTGTGGCAAGCAACCCAAGTCCAGCAGCTTTGGACCTGAAACGTCCCGCGGCCGCCCGCAGGGTCCCAATCTTCGAATCAGAGTCCCAGTGGAGTTCCATGAGAAAAGGGCACCCCTTGTTTTGCTTGTTGAATTGAAAAGGAGTCCCTTCCCCAAGGAAAACCAGGTTCCGCTGGGCGACTGGGCCGCAATCGCCCACAGAGGCTATCAAGTGCTTAGACCTGACCGAGGTGACTACAGCGTGTCAACTCTGGTCTATCAAGCCGCCCTACAAGGGCTCACATAGGCCCGTTTCCCGCTGGCTCACCGGGTGCAAGGACCTTCCCAAGCACCTGGCCCATGATCATGCCGCCGCCGATGCCACACAAGGCCGCCATGGTGCCTGCCTGGCGGCTGAGACGATTGGGTCTTCCCCACGGGCGAAATGCGGATCACCCGAGTCACAATTGACGCCTGGCACTGAATGGGGTCTACCCAAAACCGTGCAAGCAATCAAAATGGTGTTTCCAGCAAATAAACCGGTTTTTCATCAGGACCCAGAGACCGGATGGGAGTAATCAATCGACAACAACTCAGCTTTCCCGTCGACCACCCTTCCACACAGAAAAGCATGGGGTGTTGACTCCGAAAAAATGGAACGCACACACACCCACAACCAAGATCACGGAGACGTCATCCGTTGCTCATATGGCTGTGGGTCAAAAATAGGTACCCCAAATGGAACCCTGGTAAACGGAACCAACGACTAAAATCTGCGGTCCCCGGTGGCTCAATTTTGACCCACACCCATATGGCTGCCAGGACCGAACCAGGCACAAACTCAGTGACTCTCTTTCGGATGTGTTTTACAGGAAAGCAGCTTGCGGTGAAGCAGCACTCTCCTGAACCTCTTTGCCTGTCGAGACTCGTTTCCCAATGGTCGAGAAACAATGCAGCCGGGTGTGGTTCTTTAGGGCCGACCATTCCTTGTTGTGATCCCTTTGGAGCTCCAACAAACTGATAAGGGGAAGATAAAATTCCGATACCAACCAGGAGCAAAAAAGCCAGTGCTGCTCCGGGCTGTTGAACCTACGATGGAATCCAAAGGCAAGGGGGCAGCAAGCGAAAAACACCCCCCGCCCCATTTGGGGCCCGGCAAGCAGCGACCAAATGGACACATACCAGGCGGTCTTGGACCTAAGAAGTGCGCGCACCGGCTACCCTCGTGCCATCAGAGAGGGTAACAATTCATGGCCAACCTTTAAGCTGTGATACCAAAGTGGGAAATGGTCACTTTAAAAGGAACTCCCTGCAGTCCCGCCGGACCCCCCTCTCCTAAGCCTTGCTATCGCAAGAAAGACTCCCCGAGGCTACCTTTCGTGAAAAGCTTGGCCAGATTTCAAGTTATTTTGCTTAGTGGTTGAAAGGGGAAATGAAGGGCAAAAGGGCGCAAAGGTGAAAGGGGGCCTCCGTGATTTGGACCTTCCGCTGGCCTCGTTTCAATAGTTTGCCTGTGTCAACGTCTCTCCCGTTGTAGTCTAAAGGGACACCCCAGTTAATCAGGTTCTGATGTCGATAGCTCCGGAGAAAAAACAAAAACACTACCTCAGCTTTCCCTCCAACAAAAAGAAGATGCCAGATTCAAAATTGGTGAGCCTTTAGGGTCTAAACTCATTTCCGGAGATTTGCAAATTCAACAAATAATGTCACAAGCTGAACTCCGGCATCCTCAAGCAAAGCACAGCTCCTTTTGCCCCCGAACTGGTTCGTGGAATCGCTTAATCATACGGCTGTGGATCAAAACCAATGGTACCATTTTAGGGTAGGTGAATTCACCCCCCATTTTCGTCTATAGTGGGGATTGGGTCCGGGAACATGCAGCAAGATAGCCCTGGCTGAGGCGGCGGGCGTCCAAAGAATGGCACCCTCCTCCGCTGTACGGCCTGCAGAGTTCGAGGCTTCGAGCCCGCGAGAATCTGGCTTCGGTGACCCGGTTAGAAAAAAAGCCACCCTTTGGTGATGTGGCTGTGGGTCAAAAAAAATGGTGCACAAAATGGAACCCAATGGAAACAAGGACAAGCCTGCGGTTTCTTGGCGGCTGAAGTTTGGCTCATACCCATGTTGGTTTAGATGCACGGAAAAAGGGTGCCGCACGTCTGGAATTAGAATTGTCTATCATTTAGGCCCGCCTCTTAAGACTTGGGGCATACTCAAGGAGTCCGTTACTTGTCACAACGGTGGAGTGAGGTGTCCGTCTCTTCACCCGTGTTTCAAAGGCTGATTGCGTAGGTTCATATTTGAGTCCATGGGCTTTTTGGACCATTTTGGGCTTTTTCGACAATCGAGCCGCAACCAACAACTTGTTAACCCATATACCAGGGCTCCATACCAGCGCTTCAAATACGTACCTGCACATTCAATAGGAGAACCCTAAAATAGTTGGTGTTGCTTTCGTCTCTTTGAGCACCAACTCAAAGGGGTTCTCCCAACAAGGACACACCCATGACAGTCAGCCCTGCTAAAAGTTAGACGTTTAGCAGCATATATAAATCCCTCACGCAGCAAGTCTAACGCTTCGGGGTAGGGCTGTGACTCGCCAATGAACACAAAACAAAATGGAACCGGATTTTTGAGCCCCCTCAAGTTGATTGGACTCGAATTGGTTTTTGGGCCCCCCCCAACCGCTAGACCGATCAGACCGGGCCTTGGTCCGCGTACACGGCGCTGGCGCCTGAGGCCGCGCTGAGCAAGGCCAGGGCCAAAGCCGTGACCGCGACGATGGCCCAGTACCTAGAGTCCAAGCAAGAAGCTCATGAACGAAAGACGATCAAATAAATCAAATGGCGAAGACATGAATACACAAACAAACAAACAAACAAATGGAGGAACACTTATATGACTCATATGTAGACACTTCTATGTATGTATCTACATGTATATATGCTTAGGTTCTATGTGTGTGTATACATATTTACAGTGCGACTTTGGGGGACTCGAAAACCCCGGCAACGAAACGGAACCGAAGAGCTTTGGATGGAACGCAGCAGAAGTGCCGTTTGGTTTGTGCTACAGCTTGACACAATAATCTGGCAATTATTGGCTGATATGGGTTGTCCATGCACAGTGGACACTCAATCCAAATCCACGGCTTGCAAACACATGTGGGCGCTTGCCATACAATCAGCGGCCGCTGAAACTGTTGGTGTCCGTATTGGTTTTCTTGACTCCAAACTTGGGGTTGGTTCATGAGACGAAATACTCCCTTCAATTTGACAATCCCATGCGGTCAGCCAACCCGAAATATGCAGCGCTTTGGGGACCGCACTCGTTTTCAGGGCCATGTGGGAAAGAACCGGAATGTCCTCCAGAAGAACGGGAACTGTCCTCCAAGAACATAGCTGCGCTCATATGGGCTTATAGCCTCGTACCGCTATGCCCTTGATTGTGAGCATGATCCATGCTAATTGTTCGCTCGGTTGTGCTTTACTTTTCTCTCCTGCATGCTGTCCCCTTTGGGCAGTGCACAACATGATCAACACAAATCGCAGAAAAGGGTCCGCACCCAAAAAACCTTAGTCCCTCCGCCTCAGAAGGAGGCACCGAACGCATTCCCAAATCCTCGGCTCGTGGGCACATGGTCGAGCACATGGGGAAGCTCCCCGGGGCGGCGCGGCCGCCGCGGAGCAGGATGCTGCAAACCAGCAGGGCCCACATGAGGAGGAAGCCTGCGGATCCAAGGTCCTCCAGTAGAGAGGTTAGAATAAAGGTACCCTTTTTCCTGTAGTCTATTTTAGTAGGGGAACCCTCCCCCCAAAAAAGGGTAAACGGGCACTACTGGAAAACCTAGGACCTAGGATCAAAACTGGAGCCTCCCATCTGTGTTTCTGGGAATTTTTCGGGGGAGCCTGGCGCCGGCAAACATGGCCTTCCAGGGGAAGCCAAGGGCATCTTGTCTTCGCTACGTGACTTTTCAGGAAAATCCCCTCCAAACGAGTGAGAAAACAGGGCTCCACTGGGGGCACTTTGAGGGGCACATCTTCCGTTCAGCTACAATGTCCAACGCATCAATGAACACTACTATGTGCTTCGGGGTGCGTTTCCCCAAACATATGTAAAAAAGGGCGACCTAAACAAATCCCCATAGAAAGGAACATTCATGAAAACCCACCCTTTTTTCTCCCCCGGCCGCGCATCATAGCGCGTTTTGGCGGAACCCCGGCCTGCCAGCTTTCCCTTTGGGAACTGCGGCTCGCTCTTCCCGTCGCCCGTCACCACGCTGGCGATGGAGGCGATGGAGGCCGAGGCGGTGGAGGCCTTCTCCAGCTCCGCGAGCTCGGCGCCTGGCGCTTTGGGGCTCGGGGCGTGCGGAGTTTGACGCCTTGGAGCTTGGCCCAGGTGAGGTATATATATATATATATACATACACGTATATATATATATATATGTATACGTATATATGTATATATTCCTTTGATGGCTTGGACTGGTGGGGAATCAAGGGGTAGCGTTGAGGGTAGCGGACCCGCCCAACTGGCTGGATTTGAGGGATGGATTGCAAACGAGGGATTGGCCATTTACTCACGAGTAAACGAGCTAAATGGAGGTTTCCAACTACCCACGAGCCCGACAAACAACAGCCCAAGGACAGGCTTTGCCAAAGGGACCCACAAGCCAGCAACAAAAAATCCTGGGCTTTGGTTTCCCATCCAAAAAGGAAGGGGTTTGAGAACATATTGGAGGGGCCGAAGGTATTTGTCTCTTTGGGGGCCTTTGGTGAGTTGTAATTTCGTCTTTTCCCCTTCCAAAAAGAGTAGCCAGTGTGAGGGTTCCCCATCCAACGCGGGGTACCCATTGTCAGAAATGGGGGCGGGTCCCGCAATTGATGCGAGCTCGCTACACCAGCCTTATCCAAGTATAAGGCAATTGTTGTCAAATATTACGAAACCTAGAATCCCAAGTTCGAAGTAAGGGACCTACAGCATCCCTGCCACAAGACAATCAAAATGACCGATGTGGAAACTGGGACTTGTTTGTGATGGTGCTTGAAAGGAAGCGGCAATCTTTTTGGGCGGTCCCCCATGGGGATCCTACAAATGGCTGGGCTCCTCTTGTTTCCTTTGATAAACCACCCAAGCAAAGGTCCCTAGTTTTAGGAAACATTTACTCCCCGCCCCCCAACCTGGAGATGTGCTGCATGCATGAGCTAGAAGCGATATGAGTGGTGGCTTCTTATTCGGTTTCTTGGCTTAATTGTTGATACATGTTGATACACAGCCTGCTGGAGAGAGGTTGATCTCGAAGGAGCCAGGTCAAATTGTCCCTATGTGTCTTGATCGGGTTGCATTGCTGTTGAAACCAAGCAAATGCCATAACCCGCAGCATGCTAAATAGTCCAGCTCAACGCCGGTGCAGCGGAATCCAAAACCTTCAGGATAAACCATCAACCACATGCTGGATGGAAGCTGTTGTTAAACACTCCGGCAGTAACTTCCCCCATTCTTTCCCAGCAAAGCACCGTAAGGCATCATCCAGTAAGGGGCATTGGGATCTAACTTGGATCATCTTAACCCCCTCGCCCGAACTCGCGTCAGAATGCATGGCAACCAACTTGCGTGGCTTGCAACTTACCCGTACGTAGACGAAAGGGGAACAAGCTAAAAAGATAAACAATAAAGACTTAGTCGCTTATCACTTTGGCGAAAATACAATGAGGGCAACTGGTTGATACTTCTCCGTATGGTCGTGCCGTAACTTGTGTTGGATAGGTTCACTAGAAACCCATTCTATTGAATCATTGCCCCATAGGATGCTGATAGCAACTCTGTTTAAACAAGGGATCCTCCAATCAGCTGGTAAACGTTCAACACGGCATGCATGTGTCTGTTGTCATGAACCTCCAAAGGGGCTATGCCCATTCCTCTGGATAAGCCTAAGGTAGACCAAGGATAAGCTCTTACCTCCTACTCCCCATAGGCCCTTGGAGGTCGAAAATTCTAGCCAAGCATATCGCGGCTGTGTCGCGGCTGTGTCGCGGCTGTCTCGCGGCCTGTGTTTTCCAGATTCTTCTCTGTGTCCATCTCCAGCTGAATCTCGCCTGGTGTATTCTTTTGGCCGACACCTAGGTTGATTGGTTGCCGTTGAGATACCACAAGAACCTCCTTTCAAACGGGTCCCCTCGTTTTGAGTCATTTGCAATTCAGTGGTATCACCGAAGTGCGAACCTGTGGGAGGCCCCAAAAGGGTCCTGAGACCATGTAGTATATATATATATATATTATATATATATATTGTGTTCAAAAGATCCGTGATTGACAAGCCTTGATTTCTGGGCGTTGTTGGGTGTAGTTGAGCCCGGCCCTTCGCAATATGTTGGAGCTATGATGGGAGCTTGCTTTTGGGGGCACCAGGAATACCCCCAAACTTCACGAAAGCAACACACGCTTTTGGTTTACGTTGCTAGTACTATGTACCCTGAAGGTCAAACCACCATTAAAACAATGGGGCACCATGATGTACCTAAGGGATTGTCATCATCTAAATTGGGTCTTGGCCTTTGCTTTAATGGGGGTTGAACCCCAGGGTGTACCTTGACTTGTCTACACACATCTACACGACTGGTCCTGCCGCATCGAGTTTGCTCATCCACCACAAAATGGGCAAGGGGGCAACAACTTCTGGGAAACGGTGGTATTTTTGTGTATGTGTCAGCATTCGGTACTCAAAACAATTGGGTTCCTGTATTTTCCTTTTGAACCCTGCCTAAAAGGGTCCCGTGTGCTGACAACCGTGTGCATCGGAACTAGGGAGTCCTGTGTGATTCAATGCAGATCCTAGCACATTCACACAATGTTCAAACTGAGCCTTCATGTAAGACGGATAGTTGTTTGCGGACTGTCAATGTGCCATGTTTCATGTTTCTGCTTTGGCTACGTGGGAATGTGTGAACTGGTGACTTGAAATGGGAGGTTTGCAGCTTGAGCCTTTAAAACCATTGACCCTCTACACAAACCAGGGGTTCACATCCCCCAACCACCAATCCAAACCAATTGACATGGGGGAAGAGGCGGCAACTGTCCAAAGGTCCGCCGAATGGCAGGCTTCAGTTTGGTTTCCTTTGATTGCCCATGCCTTGAGAGCCATCAGAACCACCTTGCTCAGGGAAATCGGCATCCCCGAAACATAGCAATCAAAGGGGACCCTTCTGAAAAGAAGAACCACGCCAAAAAACGGCAACCTGCTGGTTTCCCTATAAACTACCCCTGCACAAAAAGGTGGTCGAGGTGTTGTTGCTTTTTTCCCAGGGTGGGGCTTTTTCCCAGGGCTGGTTTCCGCAGGGCTGGCAACATCTCCAGCATCACCAGCCTCAATTGGCCCGGGAGTTCTTGGGAGTTGCTGGGGGCTGGTTTAACTTAAGGGGGGTTTAGGCTCTTCATTCGGGTGGATCTTGTGGCGGTTTGGGGTTGATTTAGGGCTGACATCCAGGCTGTTTTGGGTGGACTTTGGGTGGATTTGGGGTTGGCTTGGAGCTGGTTTGGGTTGGGTGTGCTGCTGGCTAAGCAGTGCCTTTGGGGTTCCTTTTGGGATGTGATTACGCGAGTTTTGTCTCGTTTAGGATCGGTTTTGATTCTGGTGATGCCGGGGATGCGGCAAGCCAGCCAGCCAACCAACCCAGCCCTAGCAAACAAAAAAAAGCCCTCGAAAATAGAAAAAAACAAAAACAAAAACGGATGCCACAAAGGTCGCCCGCCAAAAACAAATAAGAACGAGACCCAGGCCGTGCTTCTCCCGCCTGCATCCACCGTCTTGCCCACCACTTGCGCGGCCGCGCGGTCGCCGGCGCCGTCGCGGCGATCGCCTCGATCCTGGAACTCGGCGTAGCGCTTGCCCAGGCCGAGCAGCCTGGGGAAGGCAAACCGACCAAAAGAGGCAATTTTTTTTGGGGGGGGGCGGGCGGCTTTTCAAGGGTACGGGTTCTGGGTGGTTCTTGAAGGGAAGAACTACAGGGAACCCCACCCGTTTTAGGGGGTACCCCTATTTTGGCTCGTGTCCATATTTGTGAATGTGCTTGGCGGACATCATGGTAACAGACATCCCAAGTAGTCAAGGTGATCAGTGCTTGGGGCATACTCCTGGGAAGCAGTCGAAACACCAAAAGGAAACCGCACGGGAGGGCCCCATGCAAGTGCCCTCCCGTCCACGTTGCCAAGAAACCCAGTCTATTGGGCCTCGTTTTGAGGAAAATGGTCTTCCAGGCTCCTTCAGCCAGCGGAGAGTGGCCAATTGAAGAAGAGGAAACATGGAAATCGGAGCTTGCATCTTGCGGACTTCATGGTTGTGCAGGGAACACATATGGGTTGTCCCGTTTGAGGAAGTTGGTTTTCAAGGGATAGCAAAGGAAACCTAGTCTTTTGGAGGTGCTCTAGCATGAGCGCGTGGGAAACTTTGACACCAAGTTTCGTCCATAGGAGTATGCTAGTAATTGTTTATCCTAGCTCTTATACAACTACGTATCACATTGGTGGTGAACATGGAATTGCTCTTCTCACTTCCAAGAAAAAGTTGATAACCCCGCTCAACAAATTCTTGCTTTTCAGAACATCCGGATGGAACACCTCAAGCCCCGGGTGATGTTCATTTCCTGAGCCAGCCATAGCACCCATGTTCAACCTTAGGACCCTGGCAACATATTGTGCCACCCGTAGAGGAGCAGGGGGTCCCTTTAAATGAGCCCATGGTGCGACACTCACCGATCTTTGTTGGATCACAATCAGGAATTGCTGGATCGCCCACGTTGCAGAAACTTGAGGCTTCGTCGCCCGCCCTGTGCGGAGGATGTGTGTGTGTGTGTATGTGTGCCCCCACATGTCTCTTGCAAATTGGAACAGATTCATTTGAGGCCAAACTCACTATCATGGTTCAGCAGCGCCGCGCCCGGCAGGTTTGGGTTGGGACCATCTGCAAGCTGCAGGAGGGTTCTGGCAGATCTCTGATCTCGTGAGCAAAACAGCAAACAACACGAGCAGCGCCTACACATTAACTTCGGAATCTGCCAACATGGTTGCAAAGTTTGTCTTGTTTTCAATACAGCCCTTTCTACAACCACTGTAACATCCGGCAGAACCACCTAAAAATTCCAACGGTTGGCTCACACAAACAGGACATGTGAAATGCGTGAACCCAAAAACCTGGATGGGTGAGTGAAGCAAACGAGTCATTGTTGCTTCCCCTTCAAGCATCGCCAAAAGAAACCCCCTTCAAATAAATCGGCCCAAACGATGATGTTTGCCAACAAAAGAAAAAATCAATCGGGAAACTATGGGAAACTTGCTGAGGGTTGTGGAAAACCCTTTCTGTGACACCAAAGTGGTTGTTTCCCACATTACTGGAGAAAGAACATTCCCTGGGCCATTCAAACTCGACTCGCCGCTTTCCCCGCTTCCGCCTCAGGCACCGCTCGACTGGGTTCTTGTCAAGCCGGTCACCTAAGCTGACGCCCGCTCCAGTCGCAAGTGATCCCGGAGAGGTGCCTGAAAAGGGAACAGCTCGCCCACTTCCTTGGCCCAAAAAGGGAACCTCACTCCAGCTTCACGAGTGGATTGGTCAGAAGTCCCCAAAACGTTTTTTCCAAACAAGCGACAAAAGTCCAACTCGGGGAGTGAGGAACCCTTCGGGTTGACCGACAAATTGCGAGAACGGGTGCCACTGAACAACTGGGGGACAGGTCTGTCAAAGCTTCCAAAAACGGCTGGTGTCATCTTGCTTTAGTTTTTGAATTTGACCCAAAGACAGAACCTAGTTTTGACACACAACACAGGGCTTCTCACATTTCACCTAACATCACCCTGCCAAAAGGAGACATGGCAAGGTCTACAGCCATCCAAAAAGGAGCAAATGGCGAACCTTGGCAGCAGGGCGGACCGCCCATGACTGAACAGCCGGAAGCCACCCAAATCCTGTGGCCAACTGTTGGCCCCAGCTGATTTTGATAGGATCTGCGACCCTAAAATGGTTGCAACAATCACAAGTCACAAGAAGTAAGTTAGTTTAGACTCTGCTTGCACTGCATGAGTCCGATGTGCCCAGCAAGGCGTTCACTCTGCTGCTTGAACTCGGATCCCTTCACCTCAGCGGGGAGGATTGGTGACTCATCCGCCAGGCCAATCAGCCTCGGCCACGTATGAGGCGTAGAGCCCACCTCTGGGGTTGATATTTCGGCCGTCCGCCGATCCCGGCCGAATCGAACGCCGATCCTTCTCCGCAAGTCCGACGCCGAGGCCATCGAAGGCCACGATCTTCGCGACAGAGGGGGAGACAGAACTCATCTGCGAGGGCGATCGATAGGCTGCATGCTGGCTTTGATCGTGCCCACTTCCCATACCGCCCATGCTTGGCCGACGCACCCCCAGCGACAAAAAAAAACTCGAGGGCTTGAATTTCCCCCCCATACATTTCCCCCACTCAAGCCATCGTTCGTTTGTGTCAGAAAAAAGAAGCAAGCAGCCACTGCCCATGGATTCAGCTTGGTTTTCCGTTGAACACCACGAGACCTAGCCCAAAGCTCGCAGCCGTGAGCCCGAGCCCCCGGCTCCCTGCTTGCACCTGGCCCGCCCGCTCCTTCTTCAAGGTCTCCAAGGCCTGGGCGAGAATTTTCTGGGGGGATCCTGCCATGAGCCAAGTACTCAGCATGGGCTTATTTGTGGTGTACCTTGCAGCCAATTTGTATAGACATGATTTTTAGGAGCTGAGTAGGAACTATTCAGCCCCACTTTTTTTTTATAAGGCTCCCTGGTTGAGTCAAATAACGCTTTCTGTGATACCGATACCAATGTGGGCCCGATGACTACTGTACTTTGTCCTTTTCAAGAGGATTCCTGGTATTGCAGAAAGTGGTCCTGAGAACGTATTTCCCACAAACACGACCCTGTCACAAGGGTAGGGGCTGCTTGTGTCCTCCAAGGCAAACATGTAGTTGGTTGTGCCCCAGCACGAAAGTGTTGAGCGCTTGGCAGCCCATCTTAGTATGGCCAGTTGACCCTCCGAGTGAACTTGCAAGTCCGCCACATACCTCTCGTGCAACGGCTGAGCACCAAATGATCATCCTCAGTGTTTCCTCCTGGAATATCTGGGCACCGAACTCAGCGCTGGAGCGACCCCCGAAGCAGTTGCAACGCTTTCCGAGGGTTGTCCTGTGTGGACTCATCAGCAACCTTTCCAGCATCACCGGTTAGGTGGGCGCGTCAAAGTTGTCTTCCCGGTGTCCCTAACAAGTGTCCAAGCTTGGATCAGCAAGTCGACAAACTCATCAATATGAAATGCGCCAACTGGAGTTTTGGGTTGGGCTCCGTTTCAACAGTGAACTTCAGCATGACCCCCAACGGCTATCAAACAGTTTGCCGAGTGGCCTGCTCTGGGCAATTTTGAAGGCCATTGTGACAGCCATTGGCCAGGCCCACTTTTGGGGCGGCAAACCCTCTTAAACCACCTTCTAGTAGCCTTCTAGAGGGTCATGTTCAGGCTGTCACGTTGGAGCCAGTCCGCCCTCTGAAAAGAGTTTCAATATATTGTGCTCCATATGCAACGAACCACACATGTACCATGATTTCAAAGAGATCCCATGCAAGCAAAAGTTGTTTTTTGTTTGCGGGGGACGTATGGGTTCGCCTCATAGACCGCCCCAACCCAAAAGGAAGCGGCGGTTCACCTTTGGCATTCCCTTCAAAAGAAATCCTCAAATTTTGCAACAGGGATGTGTATTTTTTCGAGGGTACCTTTTTTGTGGTGTTAGAAGACAGCCAAGAGGAACACCGACCTACGTTTGGGGAGGTCCCCAATTTTAAGGCACACAAAAGGCACACAATGTCCAAGAACTAAAAGGAATCTTCCAGGATCATGGCTGTCGAATTCTCGTCAGAGCCCCGAATCGGCGCGCTGCCGCTCGAAACCCATAGGCAGACAAATCCGAACAGAATCGCCTTCTTGAAGGCAGTGCATATAGTGAATCTTACATCTTCAATATTTACATACGTAAATAAATAAAAATATATATGGGTTTGTATTTTTTAGGGTGGCCGGGCAGGAAGGTTTGAGACGGGGTATGATTCGCAGGTATGATTCGCGGGTATGATTCGGGGTATGATTCGGGGGTCTGATTCGCGGAAGCAGCAGCAGCAGTAGTAGTAGCAGTAGTCGCCGAAGTAGTAGAACTAGTAGTAATATTGTAGTAGTAACGATAGTAGTAGTAGTAGTAGTAGTAGTAGTAGTAGTAGTAGTAGTAGTAGTAGTAGTAGTAGTGGTAGTAGTAGTAGTAGTAGTAGTTAGTAGTAGTAGTAGTAGTAGTAGTAGTAGTAGTAGTAGTAGTAGTAGTAGTAGTAGTAGTAGTGGTAGTAGTAGTAGTAGTTGTAGTAGTAGTAGTAGGAGTACTAGTGAATAGTAGTAGCAGTAGTCCTAGTAGTAGTAGTAGTACTAGTAGTCGTAGTAGTAGTAGTAGTACTATTAAGAGTAGAAGCAGCGACTGTAGTGGCGCGGAAGCTTTGAAAAGACTTGGCGCTGGCCTTGGCAAGGCAAGTTCATTGCGCGGGTATGATTCGGGTATGATTCGCGGGTATGATTCGGCTAGGTGCAAAACGGCACTGATCACAAACTCGTAGTGGCTGTGTAGTAGTAGTAGTAGTAGTAGTAGCAGTAGTAGCAGTAGGAGTGGTAGTAGTAGTAGTAGTAGTGGTAGTAGTAGTAGCAGTTGCAGAAGTAGTGGTAGCAGCTGTAGCATAAGCAGCAGCGGCTGTAGTGGTGCGGACGCTGTGAAAAAGACTTAGCACTAGCCTTGGCAGGGGAAGCTCATTGTCCGGGTATGATTCGGGTATGATTCGCGGGTATGATTCGGCTAGGTGCAAAACGGCACTGATTACAGACTCAGAATGATGTATGTGGTAGTAGTGAGTAGTAGCAGCAGCAGCAGAAGCAGGAATAGTAGTAGTAGAAGTAGTAGTAGTAGCAGTAGTAGTAGTAGTAGTAGTAGTAGTAGTAGTAGTAGTCAAGGTAGCAGTAGTAATAAAGGTAGTAGTCGTAGTAGTAGTAGTAGTAGTAGTAGAAGTAGTAGTAGTAGTAGTAGTAGTAGTAGTAGTAGTAGTAGTAGTAGTAGTAGTAGTAGTAGTAGTAGTAGTGGTCAAGGTTGTAGTCGTAGTAGTTAGTAGAAAGGGTAGCAGAAGCAGAAGTAGAAGCAGTAGAGTAGTAGTAGCAGCGGTAGTAGCGGTGGTAGTGGTAGTACTACTCGTAGTTGCGGTAGTAGCAGTAGTAGTAGTAGTAGTAGTAGTAGTAGTAGTAGTAGTGGTAGTAGCAGTAGTAGTAGTAATTGGAGTAGTTGTAGTAGTAGTAGTTGTTGTTGTAGTAGTAGTAGTAGTAGTAGTAGTAGTAGTAGTGGCAGTGGCAGTGGTAGTATTGGGTAGCGCTGGTGGTGGTTCTTGTGGAGACAGTGAACAACACAAAACGGTAGAAGAACAGTAGCATCTTGCAGCATCGTTTTAAGGGGTATGATTCGGGGGTATGATTCGGGGTATGATTCGGGGGTATGATTCGGGGGTATGATTCGGGGAGGTCCCACCTTCTGCCTTTTGAAGCAACTCAACACACCAAAAAAGGACAAACCCATATATATATATATATGTATAACATATATACATATATACACAGGAGCGTCTGAAAAAAAGGTCCCCTAAAATGCTTAGTTGTTCCCCTTTAAATACCAAGGAATACTAAATTTACAAAGCCCCATATGTTGCTTCATTCGTAGCCAACCTTAGAACTACCCTTGTATATGTAATACTGGGCTGCCCCCAGATCCCCTGCCAAAAGTTTAACCTTCTGTGGGTTTACATGGAAACTACCACTGACACTAAAAGGCTAAAAAGCCAAAACGCTAAGGAACCGGATGGCTGGGAGCCACCAAGAATTTCAACACGGTTTGGCTTGGACCCCCCCCCCCTCCGCCCACAGCTGCCTTCTTGAAGGTGGTGATCACCGAGTGGATGAGGATGACCATCAGCAGCGCCAAGATCAGCCAGGACGGCAGCGCGAAGTTCAGGAAGCTCCCCACCTGAGAGCGGAGGTGTGGCACCAAGACCGTTTTGATCACAAGGTCCTTTGCATGGGACCATTCGAGGAAACCACAAAAAGCATGACTTTCCTCACTAACCCTCACCTGGTACTGAAGGCTTGGTCAAGGTTCAGTCATACGCCCAAGGTCTTACCCCACCGACTAACATGGACGTGCACAGACCCCTGTAGAAAAACGACTTTCCTCTTGGAAAGGGGCTTTGTGCACGTCCATGTTAGTTGGCGGGAGGGTAATTGTTTTATCCTTTTGGTAGAGCGCAACGTAAAGTCTTAAATCTCTACTAGCATCATTTTGGCAAGGGGCAAGGGTATAAAATGCTACCAAACACCTGGCACTCAATGTGTAAAAAGCCAAAAGGACGGCTTCGCACATGTATGCTTGGGGTTCTCCTTCACTGAGTTGCACCTTTGCACGTCTCAAGAGTGTTTCGACATCCCGGGTCGTCTTCAAGTCCGCAGTCCAATTCTGACACCTACACTCACTTCAGTGGACTGGCCAACAACAAGTCTGAACTTCTGCTTTGCAACTCAAATGGTCCGGACCCAAGCAAGCGACTCAAATCCAGGGACCCAGACCTGTGGAAATCGCTTGGGTGAGCTCAGTGTTGAGGATTCCTCTGGATCGCCCGCCATTGTCTCATGCTGTGGAAAACAATAACAATGACCAGTGTCTGTGATACCAAGCGAAGTAGGGTTTTGGAAAAACAGCCAGGAACCCCCTTCAAAGTCATCAAAGGAAGCTGAACTTCCTCGCTACACTAATTGAAGAAAGGTAGTCTTGCGCACAAATAAGATGAAGAACACATGGGGGGGAATAGAAATCGCAACTAGGAGTGACCCTCTGCGGGCTTTGCCGTTTTCGGCGGGCTAAAAGCTACCGCGGTCGCGACGCCTGACGGACGACAGGCTTGGACCGGGTGCGGAACGGCTCGGACCCGGGCCCGGGCCCAGTGTCACGGATGCCCAGCGCAGCACTTTGGCAAATTGAGGTGCAAATTGCGATATCAATGCGCATAGACAGTCATATTGAAACAAACACAGACAGACAGACAGACAGACAGACAGACAGACAGACAGACAGAGAGACAGAGAGACAGAGAGACAGAGAGACAGAGAGACAGAGAGACAGAGAGACAGAGAGACAGACAGACAGACAGACAGACAGACAGACAGACTAGATAGATAGATAGATAGATAGATAGATAGATAGATAGATAGATAGATTGCTAGATAGATAAAATTGAATGGATAGACACATACATAGAAAGATAGACAAATAGTTAGTTGGTGACACCGCTACTAGGCTCGTGCATTGTTTGGTTTGCTGGCATTTTTTTGATGTTCGGTGTTTTTCACACATAAACATAAGCACACTCATGAAAATACATGCGTTCACCCGCATCCACAACCGCTGCACGCATGTGATACGAAACACGCTCACGCGCATCCACAACACATGCTGGCGCAGGCAATAATAAACATGCTCACGCGCGTCCACAACCACTGCACGCATGCTGGCACAAGTAAAAACAAACACACTCACGCGCATCCAGAACCGCTGCACGCATGCTGGCACAAGTGATAATAGACATGCTCATGCGCATCCACAACCTCTGCACGCATGCATAAACACGGTCACGCAGCATCCACGACCGATGCGCACATACTGGCACGACACATCCACAACCGCTGCACGCATGCTGGCACAAGTGACAATAAACACGCTCACGCGCATCCACAACTGCTGCACGCATGCTGGCACAAGTGATGATAAACACGCACGCGCATCCACAACTGCTGCATGCATGCCGGCACTTGTAACGCTGGTTCAACAGGATGTTGCCACAACTCACACTTGAGCCTGGGCCCTTTAACCAATGAACCTCCACTGATTCATGTTGGCTCTTTTAGCCTCTGCGACACAACCTTGTCTGAAACGAATTTGTTCGTTAAAAGTCTGTTTGATCCGTGGTTTGATACCATTTGCTGCATTCGTTGGCCAGCGCAGTGAATTGAGAAGCCACGGAGCTTGATTCGCGGCAGGCGCCTCATGTCGGCGTGACCAGGTAGCTAGATAGACAGATAGATCGATAGATAAATGGATAACTAGACAGATAGATAGATAGATAGATAGATAGATAGATAGACAGATAGATAGATAGATAGATGGACAGATAGATAGGTAGGTAGATAGGTAGATAGCTAGAGAGCTAGATAGGTAGATAGCTAGAGAGCTACATAGCTAGATAGCTAGATGGAAGCAGTGATAGATTAGATTGGATTAGATTCGATACATATGATCTACGCGAAGCAACTTCTCGACAGGCATTCAGGAAAGAACGAGAGGAGACGGAGAGAGACATAGAGAAAGAGACAAGGAAAGAAATAATAATGAATAATGAGAAAGAGACACGGAAAGAAGAGAAAGCGGAAAATATAAGGAAAAAGAGAAGGAGAAAGAGAAAAAAAGAGAAAGAGAAAGAGAAGGACACGGATTAAAGAGGGAGATAAAGATAAAGAGACAGATAAAGAAAGACAAGGCAAAGAGAGAGAGAGAGAGAGAAAGAACAAGACGACGAGACAGGGAATGATAACTGCAACTATCCGGCAATCGGCTTCTGGAATCTGGAAGAGAGGTCATGCGGATTGGATTGTGACACGGGGAATTCCACAAACATTCGCTGAGGTCCTGGCCATGGCTCCCAGCAGCAAGTTGGGGCCCATGATGAGCCTGGATCCCCATGGGAAGTGTCTCCCTGCTTTGCAGTGGACTCCAACATATTTGGCTGTGGGTCAAAAACAGGTACCCTAAATGGAACCCTGGTAAGTGGCAACATGGACCAACATCTGCCTTCCCCTGTTGGTTTAATTTTGACCCACACCCATTTGTTGTTGGAGCGACGGTGGATTCTGATTGCACAGCTTACCCACTTCAACACAAATGGCCCTACAAAGATGACTCACCTGAAGGGCGCCCTTGTACTTGACGTGATCAAACAAAACCAAGGGAAACTCAACGCAGCGTTGGGAAGCCAGCGTTCACTTCCTGGAAGCACGGAGAAAACCATCCATGGCTTCTTGCAGGCCCCACACTTGAGCGACCATTTGACGGTCGATTAAACAAAGTTTCAATCACTGGTCCGTATGTTGAGATGCTAGGGTACGTGTTGGGAATTGGGAAACCCCGTTTCCTTCAAGCGCAGGAGCTTGAAGGAACTAAACGCATCCTTCCCATAAAACCCCAACTGCAGTTACTCGGTCCCTTCAACCAAACATCTGAACCTGTTCCTGCATGTCAAACCCGCTCCTTCAAAACCACCAGAAAGGGGCACGAAACTGGGGTCGAGGGATGCAGCTCGAGCGGCACGAGGTCGTAGTCGATCATGGGCTTCCGGCCCGAGGGGTGGCGCTGACGCAAGTTGTAGACCAGGGCGCTGCAGGCGCCTCAGGGAATGGCCCCGTTTTCAGCCCCCGAAACACCCCGACACCCCCAGCGGCCATGGGAAAAGAAAAAAAACGCACTCTCCAGAAAAAGGCAAGTCTCCTCCAATTAAACCCAGAGGTAGGTATCCCCAACAGCCCACGCCCTGGAGCCCTCCAAAACCCTCCTGACACCGAGCTTGTCTGGGCAGAGACTTCCCATAGCTTCCAGCCAAACAGAAGCAACCCACTGGAGATTCGGGGGCCTCCGAACTCGTTGCCAGTCGCCATAAATTTGGTTTGGACCCTTTTAGTGGTTGATCCAAATGTGCATCCACTGCGTGGGGGGGGGGGGGCAGTTCAAGGGATTGCGATGCCGCAGAACTGGGAGGGATCGGGAGTTTCCTCAGCTTCCCTCAAAAAGGGGGTGGGATTAGTGAGGTACTCTGAGCTTGTTCTTCCACAAGAGCCAGCGCTTTTAATCCCCAACCAATCCAGCCCAGGATGGCCTGACATGGCACGAAACGGGACAGGACCCTTGGAAAACGCCTTCCCCGCAGGTGTTGCATGGACCCAGTTGACACCAGTGACCCATTGAAAAAGACAAGAAGGGGAACTCCTTGAGGGGTGTGTGACCAGTTTTAGAGGCGAAGCCGATCAAGGATGCGACTGAAACACCGGGCATTATATCTTAGGAAATCGGGCCCCCTCTTCGGTAGTATTAAAGCAGACTCCCATCTGACCACGAAAATTTGAACCCACTTCAACGACGATTCAACCTCTCCACTCACAGAAAGTGCCGAGCAAAACCCAATGCTCCCATTCAAAGGGCGTTGCACGGCACCGATGACGCCAAAGCGGGGCTCCTTGAGACAGCTGGTGTTGAGGAGCCCAAGAAATAAACAAATTTAGTGACCCGAAAGGAAAGGAAAGGAAAGGAAAGGAAAAGAAAAGAAAAGAAAGAGAGAAAGAGAGAAGCAAATAAGAGCAACATGCACAAAGAAGAAAGGAAGGAAAAAACAATGAATAACGGAAGCAAGGAAGGAAGGAAGGAAGGAAGGAAGGAAGGAAGGAAGGAAGGAAGGAAGGAAGGAAGGAAGGAAGGAAGGAAGGAAGCAAAAGGAAGCAAAAGGAAGCAAAAGGAAGCAAGGAAGCAAAAGGAAGCAAAAGGAAGCAAAAGGAAGCAAAAGGAAGCAAAAGGAAGCAAAAGGAAGCAAAAGGAAGCAAAAGGAAGCAAAAGGAAGCAAAAGGAAGCAAAAGGAAGCAAAAGGAAGCAAAAGGAAGCAAAAGGAAGCAAAAGGAAGCAAAAGGAAGCAAAAGGAAGCAAAAGGAAGCAAAAGGAAGCAAAAGGAAGCAAAAGGAAGCAAAAGGAAGCAAAAGGAAGCAAAAGGAAGCAAAAGGAAGCAAAAGGAAGCAAAAGGAAGCAAAAGGAAGCAAAAGGAAGCAAAAGGAAGCAAAAGGAAGCAAAAGGAAGCAAAAGGAAGCAAAAGGAAGCAAAAGGAAGCAAAAGGAAGCAAAAGGAAGCGGAAGCAAGGAAGAAAGGAAGCAAAAGGAAGCAAAAGGAAGCAAAAGGAAGCAAAAGGAAGCAAAAGGAAGCAAAAGGAAGCAAAAGGAAGCAAAAGGAAGCAAAAGGAAGGAAGCAAAGGAAGCAAAAGGAAGCAAAAGGAAGCAAAAGGAAGCAAAAGGAAGCAAAAGGAAGCAAAAGGAAGCAAAAGGAAGCAAAAGGAAGCAAAAGGAAGCAAAAGGAAGCAAAAGGAAGCAAAAGGGAGCAAAAGGGAGCAAAAGGGAATAAGGGAGCAAAAAGGGAAGCAAGAGGAAGCAAGAGGAAGCAAGAGGAAGCAAAGGAAGCAAAGGAAGCAAAAGGAAGCAAAAGGAAGCAAAAGGAAGCAAAAGGAAGCAAAAGGAAGCAAAAGGAAGCAAAAGGAAGCAAAAGGAAGCAAAAGGAAGCAAAAGGAAGCAAAAGGAAGCAAAAGGAAGCAAAAGGAGCAAAAGGAAGCAAAAGGAAGCAAAAGGAAGCAAAAGGAAGCAAAAGGAAGCAAAAGGAAGCAAAAGGAAGCAAAAGGAAGCAAAAGGAAGCAAAAGGAAGCCAGGAAGCGCAAGGAAGCAAGGAAGCAAGGAAGCAAGGAAGCAAGGGAGCAAGGGAGCAAGGGAGCAAGGGAGCAAGGGAGCAAGGGAGCAAGGGAGCAAGGGAGCAAAGGAAGCAAAAGGGAGCAAAAGGAAGCAAAAGGAAGCAAAAGGAAGCAAAAGGAAGCAAAAGGAAGCAAAAGGAAGCAAAAGGAAGCAAAAGGAAGCAAAAGGAAGCAAAAGGAAGCAAAAGGAAGCAAAAGGAAGCAAAAGGAAGCACAAGGAAGCAAGAGGAAGCAAGAGGAAGCAAAAGGAAGCAAAAGGAAGCAAAAGGAAGCAAAAGGAAGCAAAAGGAAGCAAAAGGAAGCAAAAGGAAGCAAAAGGAAGCAAAAGGAAGCAAAAGGAAGCCAGGAAGCGCAAGGAAGCAAGGAAGCAAGGAAGCAAGGAAGCAAGAGGAAGCAGAGAGAGCAAGAGGGGCGAAGAGGAAGCAAGAGGTAAGCAAGAGGAGCAAGGAGGAAGCAGGAGGAAGCAGAGGATAGAGAGCTGGAAAGAGGAAGCAAGAGGAAGCAAGAGGAAGCAAGAGGAAGCAAGAGGAAGCAAGAGGAAGCAAGAGGAAGCAAGAGGAAGCAAGAGGAAGCAAGAGGAAGCAAAAGGAAGCAAAAGGAAGCAAAAGGAAGCAAAAGGAAGCAAAAGGAAGCAAAAGGAAGCAAAAGGAAGCAAAAGGAAGCAAAAGGAATAAGCAAAAGGAAGCAAAAGGAAGCAAAAGGAAGCAAAAGGAAGCAAGAGGAAGCAAAAGGAAGCAAAAGGAAGCAAAAGGAAGCAAAAGGAAGCAAAAGGAAGCAAAAGGAAGCAAAAGGAAGCAAAAGGAAGCAAGGAAGCAAGGAAGCAAGGAAGCAAGGAAGCAAAGGAAGGAAAGGAAGCAGAAGGAAGCAGAAGGGAAGCACAGAAGAGGAAGCAAAAGGAAGCAAAAGGAAGCAAAGGAAAAGGCGGAAGCAAGAAGCAAGAGGAAGCAAAAGGAAGCAAAAGGAAGCAAAGGAAGCAAAGGAAGCAAAAGGAAACCAAAAGGAAAGCAAAAGGAAATCAAAAGGAAATCAAAAGGAAAGCAAAAGGAAAGCAAAAGGAAAGCAAAAGGAAAGCAAAAGGAAAGCAAAAGGAAATCAAAAGGAAATCAAAAGGAAAGCAAAAGGAAAGCAAAAGGAAACCAAAAGGAAAGCAAAAGGAAATCAAAAGGAAAGCAAAAGGAAACCAAAAGGAAAGCAAAAGGAAAGCAAAAGGAAATCAAAAGGAAAGCAAAAGGAAAGCAAAAGGAAAGCAAAAGGAAGCAAAAGGAAGCAAAAGGAAGCAAAAGGAAGCAAAAGGAAGCAAAAGGAAGCAAAAGGAAGCAAAAGGAAGCAAAAGGAAGCAAGCAAAAGGAAGCAAAAGGAAGGAAGCAAGGAAGGGAAGCAAAAGGAAGCAAAAGGAAGCAAAAGGAAAGCAAAAGGAAGCAAAAGGAAAGCAAAAGGAAACCAAAAGGCAAAAAAGCAAAAGGAAGCAAAAGGAAGCAAAAGGAAGCAAAAGGAAGCAAAAGGAAGCAAAAGGAAGCAAAAGGAAGCAAAAGGAAGCAAAAGGAAGCAAAAGGAAGCAAAAGGAAGCAAAAGGAAGCAAAAGGAAGCAAAAGGAAGGAAGCAAAAGGAAGGAAGCAAAAGGAAGCAAAAGGAAGCAAAAGGAAGCAAAAGGAAGCAAAAGGAAGCAAAAGGAAGCAAAAGGAAGCAAAAGGAAGCAAAAGGAAGCAAGGAAGCAAGGAAGCAAAAGGAAGCAAAAGGAAGCAAGGAAGCAAGGAAGCAAAAGGAAGCAAGGAAGCAAAAGGAAGCAAGGAAGCAAGGAAGCAAGGAAGCAAGGAAGCAAGGAAGCAAGGAAGCAAGGAAGCAAGGAAGCAAGGAAGCAAGGAAGCAAGGAAGCAAAAGGAAGCAAAAGGAAGCAAAAGGAAGCGAAGCAAGGAAGCAAAAGGAAGCAAGGAAGCAAGGAAGCAAGGAAGCAAGGAAGCAAGGAAGCAAGGAAGCAAGGAAACAAGGAAGCAAGCAAGCAAGCAAGCAAGCAAGCAAGCAAGCAAGGATGGAAGGATGGAAGGATGGAAGGATGGAAGGATGGAAGGATGGAAGGATGGAAGAAAGGAAGACAGAAAAAATACAGAGAAAGAACATGTTCATGCATTCCCAACCAGTACGCTCAAATTGTTTGGCTCCCACCACTTGTGAAACCTTCAAAACAAAGAGGGCCGAACTTGATCGAACTCGACTGACCTCTGGAAAATGTTCACGCTTGGACCGCGGGACCCCTGCCATTTTTAAAGCAGCAAACCCTTGAAAAACCACTACCCCCCCCCCTAAGAAATCCAAAGAACGTGGCAGACATAGATCCATTTGCGGGTGTTTCACAAAACTGGACCCAGGTTTGAAGATGGCGTTGCTGGTTTCCTTAGGAATTTGAGAACCCGAGCGGCCCCCCCCCCTCCGGACCCGGGTTAATTCCCCCACCCAGCCTCCGGCCAGACATGCCTGCGACAAGCCCGTGGCCTCGTGCACCTGGAATCCTGGGCGGCGAGTGAAGCTGTTTGGCTAGGGCCCAAATGGCCATGGGTCAAAATCCCGTACCCCCAGTGAACATCCCAATCCCAACCTAAAATAGACTAAAATGGGTAGCCATTGGTTTTGACCCACAGCCAAATAATTCGAGGGGTGGTGACTTTGACACAACATTGAGTCATGCTAGAGGAGGAAACTAGGTTGAAAAATGGAGACCCGAATCGGCATGCTTAATGAGAAAAAAATGGTGGTGGTGCCAGACGTTTACTGGCCCACTGGCCCACCCCACAGGCGGCGAAAGGTTCAGAGGGAGCCTTCTCAGAAGGGGCTCTGATCGAAAGAGCTCTGAGAACTTCTGTCTGGGAATTCCACGTTCATGAGCATCATACGACCTTCGTATATGTCACCGTAGGATGCTTTCTATTTGACATACCATCATGATTATTTTACCCTTGACCAAGCGAAGGTACATCTTCCCGGTACCGGGGGACACTGTCACCTTGCGCGGTAGGAGACCCCAGCAGCCGATGGCACCGGGATCAAACCGTGTTCAACCCAACGCATCTACAGGACATGAGCCACTACGGGTCAATATGCATTTCGGCCCTTTCCCAATAGCATGCTTTTTTTGAGTGTGCCACAGCTCATCTTTTTTTTCCAGCAGAAAACAGAACAGATTGACCGAGCCCTGAAAATAGAAGTCAACAACCTGTTCGCTGCCTTTAGGAAACACATCCCCCACGAGTTGAACAAAGGATTGGTTTCAAACCTTGGGAAAAGGCGCCCCCCTGAAAAAAGGAAGAGAACCAACAAAAACCGGGGTTTCCGGCTGAGAAAGTGGCCTTTGGCCCCCAAGAGTCTGTTGCTTCTTTGCCTCCCGGCCTAGAAGAACCACCAGCAGGGGCACATAGAGGCCGCCTCCCCCGATGCCGGCACTCAAGGCCAAGCCTCAGACGAATGCCTAAGGGTTAGGTCCCCCTGAAACCAAGGGGCTTCCGGTTTGGTCGGGCTTCAACTTTTGGTTTCCCTTCCCCGGCCAAAAGGGGATCCCTTGTGGGGTTTCTCAAATGAGTGGGATGCTGCGCACATTTGGTGGCGATCGGAACCCGTTTGAAAGAATCCGTTAAACGGGATATTAGGGGCCATCTAGAAATGGTGTGCGGACCACCAAAGCAAGAAAGGGCCATGTGATCCCTACATAACCTTTATATGGTGGCCCTTGGTGGGCATCACTTAGGTGGGATTTGGTGTCCAGCAACCAGTTTAGAGGGGATCCTTACTAGATTTTCACTTTGGGGGGAGTGGTGTGTGTGTGTGTGTGTGGTTGATAAAGAGCAAAACTTGCCTGGAAGTGGTAGTTTGGCTTTCACCCAGGAACGGAAAAATCGCCCAGCGGCGAATTCCCTGAACTGCCCCAAATCCAGGCTTAGCTGAAGCCCCAAAGCGGCTGTTGGGCAACAAAGCAAAACTCATTGTGGATCCTGTGATTGGCAACTTGGTTGGCGTTCATCGGTCAATTGGATTATCCAATGCGAGCATTTTGGCGAGGCTGACCTTATCCGGATGTCGACAAGGGAGTCTGAAAATGTTAAACTACAAATACCCTTCCCCTTTTGGTGTTCTCTAGGGGAAATTTACAAATTATGGGCTTTTTAGATTCCGGGATCTCGGGAGCGGTGGATCGTCCACACAGTGGGGAACCAAAAGAAAACAACCCATTTTGGGGGTCCCCGGTATTATAATCATTTTGTTGTTCATGCAAATGGTTATCAACAAAAGCTGACTACGAGAGTGATGATCCATGGCAACCCCAAGTAAAGAAACCGGTCATTTGACCATGGCCCCAAATGGGCTCGTGGCTTTGATTGCATCGTTGGTTTTAAGCAGAGCCCAAGGGCTTGGAGGGCCCCTTGGACGGTTGGGGTGTCAGAAACTCCCTGGCCATTTTTGGGTATCCCCTTTAACAAGCGGCACCTCGAGCACCAAGGTGCTGGGGGGCAGTAGTGGACGGACGAAATCCTGCAGTTGGGACTGCGATCGCCAGCCTATGGCAACTGGTACCAATTGGCGTGGACTTCGTCCATCCACGGCATCTTGGACACCCCCCAAGATTTGGGCCCCAAGATGTTCTGGGCCAATGAACACCGACTTAACGAACCTTGCGGAAGAAGTATTCATGCTGAATGTCGCCAACCCCCCCCCCCCAAATTGACGTCGCTCTAGATTTACTCAGACAAGTGTGGCTGACTTTTTATTAGGCAATCCCCCTTAAATCATGAGGTTGGTGGACAGAAATCCCCACCCAAATGATGTCCACTAAAGGGTCCCCAAATGGTCTCGAATAAACGTATCAGACTGTGGTTTCCCCTCAAAACCTTTTGTTTTCCCTAATCCCAAAAGGGTTCCCCCGAAAGGCCGAAACCAGATCCCGAAAAGGCACCCGATGCGATGTGAGTCGAGTGGCCGCTGATAAGGAAGAAGAGCACCGCCACTCCCACGTCCGTTCCGCCGCCGATGCCTCGAGTCTCGCTGAGTCTCGCTGAGTGTCGCTGAGTCTCCATGTTGGGCTTTCGAGGGCTCCAGAGACCAAGTTGGATGAGCATTCTCCATTTCGACCAGCCTTCTTTTCGATCAACCATCTGATCTGCGGCTGCGCTGGT